GGCTTTTCCCTGGGTCAGCATGCAAGCCGCGCGACTGCTCGCCCTGGTTTTGGTTGCGAGCAAAAGTGAGGCGGTGGTGATGCGGTCTCCGGTGCGCACGGCCAATTAGCGGGTGCCGCACGCCGTCTGGGCTGGCTGGGCTGCACATCTGCTGCATCTTCCTCCCTCTCGACATCGCCGCCTCCACCGTCGGACGAGCTCTTCGAGACACACGACTGGCGACTAGCGGTGAGCGTGTTGGGATGACATGCCTTGCAGCTTCACCCTCATCCTCGTCGTCCCCGCCCCGGCCTCGACGCGGAACGCCCTAAGCCCGTCGGCGGTTCTATGGCGATCGCCTCGACGGTATTGCTTTGCACATTCGACATATGGTCAGGGCATAACCACACCCGCCGTCTGTGCCCAGTCTTTAAACAAGAACGCAAGGGCACGCACCCGACTCGTATCTCAGCCTCCAGCTTGCGCAACCGAGCCCATCCCTCCCCCCCCCCCCCCCCAGCCGCCAGACCATTGCTGTTTGAAGTACGCAGCGTCATTCAATCTCCGTCGTCACCAATACCGCCGCCATCATCATTTACCACTACAATCACGACCAACATCACACCATCTGGCAGCTCTCTCCCACGCCTGCCTACACACACACATCGTTACCACTATCATCAGTAGTAACACTCCTTCCTCCTGTCTGTCTCTCTGCTTTCTGCTTGTTTTCCACTCTCTCTCTCTATCTCTCTTGCACTTTGCTTTTCCTGCAAAGTGCTTTCCGTCCGAAGCCGTCTCTCTACGCTTCCTCTCTTCCTTGTTGTTCTGTCGCTCTTTGTCATTGCGGATGACCTTCTTGTCCCCCTTCACTATGTCAACGCCTGTCAAGCCCTAAACTTGTATACCAACAGTCTCCATTGACCTAGTATCTCAAGCGGGCACATGCCAACAAGGTACGACTTTCATCCGAGCACCGTCCCGCCCTTCGCGGCGTCTTCGTGCTTGTCTGACTCGGAATGTCATCTCGCTCGTTCCAGCAGGCCCCTGTTGTGCCTTGGTCAAACAACCCGCGAACACGTTTCCATTCTGTGTCTTACAAACCGCGCTGTCTTGGATAGTTTGGTGGGCTAACGACTGGCAGTCAGCGCTTGCAGCAACCTTGTGCGCTTCTCTTGAGCGTTCGCTTCCCACCAGGACTTATCACCACTGCTTTGCCCACTCACGCGCTCGTCACCACACCGCCGACCAGCGTCACCGTACTCCCAGCACACGTCATCACATGAGAACTCGACCGTCATCAATGCAGAAGAACTTTGGTGGCGTACGCCGGCGCAAGGAAATGAGCTCCCACACGCCAAAGACGAATCCCAGCGCCAACCCGTCCTTTGCGTCAGAGCAGCACTATGCGTCACGGTCTGGCGCAATGGACGTAGATGGCATCGAGGTATCACCATCGCCATGGCACGGCTCCATCTCTGGCCCAGAAGGACAGACTGTCGAAGAGAGACAGATCACGGACCAGGGTGCAAGGCAGGCTAGGGATCATGTTGCCTCAAAAGAGATGGTCACTCCATCGCCATCACGACGTTGCTATTTGATCGTACACGAAGAGCTTGCAGAAATGCTCAAAGTTATGCTAAGCGAGCAGCCCGAGACGCAACCATCTGTTGAAGAGTTAGCCCAGGACTTTCTGTACGCAACACTCACGCCACCCGTCACAACGCAATCGTTGAGCGAGCTAGACATGCAAAGTATCATTACCAACATCAAATTACGGCATGACGTCAACTTTGACCGAGATCTGAGCTTCCGACCTAACTTGGATGGTGCAAAAGGACAAAGGAAGGAACGAACCGCTGACAAGTACTGGACAGCGTTGATCGCTGAGCTGGAACTGTACAAGCGCTTGTTCCAAGGAACCCCACCGATACCCCAAGCCAAGTTGGAACGATTTGCTCGTGGCGCGCAACGGCGAATTCCAGTCTTGTTCCAGACGATTCGAGATGTCATCAAGAGCCTCGTTCCCGACAGTGATCATTCAAGAGTAGATGAGCACCTCGATGTTCCTCTGCTGATGCAAGAGATTGAGCGTGGAGTGTGTGACTTTGTAAGGCTAGCGGAATGGATTGCCCGCCTCCTCAAGGAGCATTGTGCCCCGATGCGTGATGTGTGGGTTGACGAGATGGTGGCCCTCACAAGACAGGGCGCAGTTACACAAGATTCAAAGCAGATCATCATTGGCCTGAAGACGCTCTTTGCTATCCTCGAGGCGATGAAGCTTGTGAGTTTGATAGTTCAAAATTATACCAGTAAAGACTAACCGAGATCCAGGATGTCGCCAACCACCAGATTCGAAACCTGAGGACGCTGCTTATCGAGGATACAGTCAACTTTGAAAAGCACTACCATCTGGAAAGACTTGTGAGCGGCAGAGCCAGGATCAACGTCGATGCTGCAAAAAGCTGGTTCACCGCCGCTGTTGAGGAGTTTGTATCGCAATGTTCACCACGACCAAGGGCTGGACCCTGCCTCGAGCTTGAAGTCTTTACCCGCGCTGTTACGGCCAAGTCGCTTGGCCGAGACAGACGGGGAAATCTTCCTGAAACCTTTTTCCTCGACAACGACCGATTACGTGTATTCAGAGCTGAGGTTGATGATCTGGTCATGTTCGAAGTCTGCATGGAAATGTGCGTTGCAGTGGCGAAGCAATTCGGATACCAGGGACCTATCACTCTCACTCTCGGCCAACAACTTCGCACTGCCCTCACTGCCATCATGGGCGAAGCTGCTGGGTACGGTGCTCATCAGTGGATGATGAACTCGGAAGCTCTTTCGTTGGAGATTTTGCGACACGCGTCCCGTCTTGCTGGACAACCAGATACACATGGTTTTGACCGCATGGTTGATGCCAACATGAGCTTGCGTATGCTGTTCGTTCGCCGAACCGCTCACCATGCTGCACGTCTCGAGGCTTTGCTCCTACCACAGATTCTCGCCAACGTCGACCGCCACAGGGCCTCATCGCCAGTGGATCTTTTCACCAATCTTGTTCCCATTTCAGCATCTTTGCCTCCTCTACCAAATACGTCACGGTCCGGCGTTTCTGATGCATTTTCGCTCGCTCACCTACAACCAGAGACTGGCAAGTTGACAGACCTCGTTAACCGCATCACACACATTATCCTACTTCACTGGAGAATATGGGCTCCTATCGCATACGTTCCAGAAGATGTACCACACCAGTCACCCGCAGAGGAGAATGCCACATCATCCCCTGCTTGATGAATGCAATCCCAACAGTCATGACTGAAAACTGATTCAGGAGCGTCTGTTCCCAATTAACACACAGGTCCGGAGGTCTCCGAAGCCAGGCCAAGTTATGCTTCGCTTCTACCTTCCAATCAACACATTTAACGTTTCCCATGTCGACATTTGTTTTCTCGTTGTCCTTCTCATTTTTCGGAGTTTTTTACAGGGGAAACAAATCTGGATGAACAAATTACGGAAAGGCTTTATATACCCGGCGCAAAATTGAAATATGGGTCTATGTCAGCTTTGTATATCTTTTATTTGTTCGTTTTATTTGTTTACGATACCACCTTTTTTGGCAACTTTTTTTTTCTCTTTCATTTTCTGTGTTGTTATTCGCCGGCACAGCGGCCAGGGTAACAATGGTATACGTTTCTTGTAATGCAAATTTGGGGGAGTGGACAGTGGAGACGGGCAAAGAAGGGGAGCGGGGTGCCTTTTTGTATTTTTACACTCGATTTGATATGTAGTTTGGATTTTCTTCTCTTTTTTTGCTTAGCGATGGTGTTGAGTTTGATTCAAAGCGTGTTGATTGGTTGTTTGGTTCGTTTGTCTCTTCTATTTTCTTTGTATAAATGGAAATACATTTCGGAGAGTTTTTTTCGTGCTTATGAAATTGGTTGGGTACACGTCTTTTTTTTCATTCTCTTCTTAGAAATCTCATCTCTTGGTGTAACCGTGTTTGCAATATGCATCTTTGCGAAGTGTTTGTTCTTAAAGTATTTACACATGTTTTTTTTCTTTGTTGTCTAGTCAAAGGAGGACATGTGTAAGAGTGGAGATGGAGGGGGGGATGTTAATTAAGAATAGGATAAGTATGTGGACAGGCTTGAGTGGTGTAAGGCTTGGCCAGCACAAGCCACAGCTCCGCCACAACTGCTGCCTAGTGTACTACACCACCACAACCACGTCATTGGCCCCCTTTAGTGGCTGCCTGGTAAGGCTGGCCTAGTAATTTCCTTAGCTACATACATTCCTTCATGGCATACATGCATACGGCAGCGTGACCGGGCCGAGACTCGTTAAACGGCGTCACCGGTGACCATGGAATCATCTGCTTAGCTGCATTCTTTTTTTGCGCCGCATCGACACATGTCAGTGCCAGCTGAGTAGCCCTTCAATCGACGTTGCAAATCACCAACGATTCATGTCGCAACGCCCTTTTTGCACCTGATAACTCGGCCGCAGCAACTTGCTCTAGCGCCTCGTCAGATGTGAGTCAGGCCGCTTTCTCATGTCCGACGGTAATGTTCAAGGCAACGCCTTGTTCCTATCAGCGGAAAAATGAGTAGCATCGGACATAGGCGACCGTGCATGTCGCACAGCCACTTGTTTACTAGCTTAGGCTGCAACCCGCCCTTTTTTTGAGTCTTTACCTAGTTTTATTGCGGGGTAAGTAAGACTAAAGGACTTTTGGGGTGTGAAATGCACGTTACGCACGTTATGCACGTTATGTCATAAGAGGAAATTGGCTTGGAGGAGGTGGCGGCGGCGGCCAGTATTAATATTCTGACCTCCCCTTTGCTCACATGTCCCCATTCTGAAACCTGTGTCTTTTCAAACTACTTCACTACTTTCTTTGAGGACCCACTAGTGAAGCAGGCCTTTTTCTTTAAAGGTGAGATACAGGCTTTGAAGGGGTTTACTGACTGCGGTGGCGATACTTCATCTTCCCTACTACGAGCGGATAACCCACCTTAGCCGTCGTCATGGAGAGCCTCAAGGGAGTGCTGCCACAGGGATTTGCGGAGGGGGCGATTGGCATTCCTGGCATTGGCGCTTTTGCTCAGATTCTAATGGGCAAGCTTGGAGTCGATGTTGGGAATCTAATGTCTTTCTACCTGCTCCTATTTGGTGTTTATCAAGGAGCACTGTATCTCTACAACCAAGTCTACTATTATCTACTGTAAGTTGTATAGCCCCGATGCTCTTCAAGACTTCATATCTAAACACGCATCATCATCTAGGAATTACGGAACTTCAGCTATTCGAATCGATGATGATGACGATCTGTACGCCCAGTTCATCACCTGGATATCGGAACAGCGCATGACGGAGCTAAGCCGAGATCTCAAGGCCTCCTCCAGGAAGCCTCGGGCCCGTTCTGATGACTCTGACGAAGAGTCGGATGACGAGCCGGATAACGAGGATGTCCTTGATGAGTCGGGCATTTTCCAGTACGACAAATGGGCTGGTAATAACCCCATCTACTACGAGCCTAATCTTGGTAACGACAAGTTCAAGTACAACGGCTCCTACTTTCAGTTCACCAAGGACGTGCAGGAGGACAAGTTTGCGCAGCGCAATAAGTACTGTCTCATTATCCGCTGCATGGGCCGAAGCACACAGCCTATCAAGGAGCTCATTGAACATGTTAAGACCTGGTCTAGCAAGAAGCCTAACACCATGACGGAAATTTATCGTGCCGAGTCGCGACATGGAGGGTACTGGCAGATTCAGTCGACTCGTCCTTCGCGCCCTATCAGCACAGTCACGCTGGATGAAGTGCAAAAAGACAAGATTGTTGCGGATATCAATGAGTATCTTCATCCTGCTACTGCGCGGTGGTATGCAGCAAGGGGTATTCCGCATCGTCGAGGGTACTTGTTCCACGGACCGCCAGGAACAGGAAAGACTTCTTTGAGCTTCGCAGCGGCTGGTATCTTCGGACTGAGCATCTACTGCGCGTCTCTGAGCGAACCCGATCTCGGCGAGTCTCAGCTCGCGTCACTCTTCAGTCTACTTCCCAACCGATGCATTGTGCTCTTGGAAGACATTGACTCTGCAGGTATCCGACGCGAAGGATCTGGAAAGACCATCTCGAGTTTCGATTCCGGATCCGACTCGGAGGACGAGACTGAAAAGGTGTCTCAGCCACTAAAAGAGAAGGACAACGAGGAGGTAGTCAAGACCGATGAGAAAAAAGAGGACACCACTGAGACCGAAAAGAAGGTTTCTCTCCGTAGACGAATCACGCGCTCTCTCCGCACCCAGAAACCCATCACCAAGACCGACAGCGAGACCACAACTCTAGTCTCTAAAGACGACGCCTCCGAAGCAAACACCACCGTCGACACCACCTCTGAAACCAAATCCGCCCACAAAGTCCACGTGACCGAGGACCAACCCACCAAGAGCAAAATCTCCCTCGCCGGCCTCCTCAACATCATCGACGGCGCAGCCTCAAATGAAGGCCGCGTCCTAATCATGACCACAAACTGCCCCGAGAAACTCGATCCCGCACTCATCCGCCCAGGACGCGTAGACGTTCAAATCAAATTCACCCTCGCCACGCACGCCCAGATGCAGGATATCTTCCGTCGTATGTATAGTAACGACACGGATACCGCCCCTGCATCCACCTCCCCCTCCACCTCTAAACCAACACCCAGCGCAAAACCCCGTACTGCAAAAGATAGCAGCAACGAGAAAGATAAGGGCAAGCCTGCTACTCCCTTCCTTCCTCCCCGCTTCGCTACTTTACCTCCAGCCGAGCTCGATGATCTAGCGCAGAAATTCGCAGATAGTCTACCCGAGAATTCGTTCTCGCCGGCGGAAATCCAGGGATACCTGCTTATGCGGAAGACGGATCCGAAGGGTGCGGTTGAGGAGGTTGCGGCGTGGAGGGATGGCGTGTTGGAGGCGAGGAAAAAGGGGAGGAAGGTTATTGAGTTGAAGTAATTAATCTTCTTAATCTCCTTTTCTGAGTGTTTGTGTGGAAAAAAGCATAGCGTGGAGTTTTAGCATTGGTTTTCTTTTCTTGCATGGTAATATTCGGGGAAGATGGACAAGTGGATTTTTTTGGTCATAGACCTTTGTCTGGGAGATGAACAACGGAATCGGAGATAGTGAGATAGAAGACCAAGGATATATAATTCGAAAAATCGATACAGCTCGAGTGGTTGTGAAAAATTTCAATTCGTTGCAAATGGCTCAGAAACAGATTAATCAAACGCCTTTTTACGCCTTCCCATCGCCTTTTACGCAATGTAAATCATGCAAAGTAAAACCATCGTCATTCTCCTCCTTTTTTTTTTAATTGTCTAGCCAGTCGAGGAATTCGGGGGTAAAGTAGCTGACTACTATCGAAGCACCAGCTCGCAGGATACCCTGAGTCGCCTCCTCGGCCATCTGTCTCAATTCAAAGACACCGGCGGCTGCCGCTGCATGGATCATGGCGTACTCGCCAGAAACCTGGTATGCTGCGATTGGCATATCCTTGCCAATTTCTTTTGCGTCACTGATAATGTCTAGGTACTGGCTGGCAGGCTTGACCATGATAATATCTGCGCCCTCGCCGATATCTCGTACAATGGCTCGTCGCGCTAGACCACGGCCACCAGGAGGCAGTTGGTAGCATCTTCGGTCGCCGAATGAGGGGACTGAGCCGGCAGCGTCGCGGAAGGGGCCGTACAAGCAGCCCGAAAACTTGGCGGCGTACGACATGAGCGAGACTTGGTGTGCTATTCCAGCCTCGATGAGTCTCAACTTGATTGCGCGTATGCGACCGTCGTTCATGTCTGAAGGCGCAACGCAGTGCGCACCGGCCTGCGCGTATGAGAGAGCGACATCGGCGATGCGTTCCACGGACAAGGCGTTGTTTAGACTGCCGTCATCACGCAGGATACCGCAGTGACCGTGTGAGGTGTATTCGCACAGGCAGACATCGGCAACAATAAACAAATCGGGGAATGCTCGTCGAAGCAGGCGGATGGCCTTGATTACAGGGCCCTTGGGGTCATCCGCATTGGTGCCGAGGGCGTCCTTTGCAGCGGGCGCGAGCGGCACGCCAAACAGAATGACCGACTTGAGGCCCTTTGCGACAAGAGGCGTAAGGTATGGCACGACCTTGTTCAGGCCTCGGCGGTGGATGTTGGGAAGCGAGGGGATGAGCGTCTCTTCGTCAGGCTGATCGGAAATAAAGAGGGGAAAGATGAGCATCGACTGCGCTGTGCGTTAATTCCTGCAATGCTTTTTCAAAGGGGAAAAAAAGTCGCTACCAGCATACCTTGGTCAGCTGGCGCTCTGACTGCCATGCTCGCGACAGAGGGTGACTATATCCTCCATGCAACTGGCTCTTGATGTCGCCAGATATGCTTACGCTCGTGGCAGCAGTGCTAGCGTAGGATCGTGTTGAGCGTGCTTCTGACACCTGCGAGCGCAGATCCGGTCGGTCGGGTCGCTCCGAGTTACGGTATGCAATGTCTGAGACGAGCGAAGAAAAAGACATGATTGCGGCGAGGAATAGGGTGTCGAGGGAAGTGTTCCGAGGTGGTGAGGGGCTCTTGCTGCGGTTGTACTTTGGGCGGTCTAGAAAGGTGGCGGATATACGATTACGGACTTCCGAGGTGTGGGACGTTCACAACAAGAAACGATTGTAGTAGACGAACAATGGCGATATGCTAATGTCCGCAAAAGAGAAAAAGAGAGCGGTAGAGCACGGTCAGAGCGGAAGTAAACTGCAGGGTCCCGAAGTTTCTGGGCACAATTTACAAAGGGCGTGGCGATACTATATGGGCATTGATTGCGAAGGACGCAAAACTATGCCCGATGACGAATGGGAAGTGCAGGATTACTCGCATCCAGATAGAGTTTAGCCGACGATTATGTCAGACAACCGCGGAATTCTTTCGGTGGCCGAGGCAATGCTCGGGATAAGCCTTGCGATACCCTTGCATGCATCCTACTGCGACACAACATCTCAACTTCTTACCTATTTGCATTCACGAGCATCCACTATAAGCGCCATGCCCAGCAATTCTTAGGTCCAGAGTGTGCCTAGATTCTGCCTATAACGGGATCCAGCCCTCTGTCGCGCACCAAGCCTCCTCCACTTCAGCTGAACACTCTACCCACTCTTATTAGATAATTAACTCCACTGAGCTTGAGTCTCGTGATCGGTCTACTGTGTATGAAACTCTACTTCACAGCCCTTTCGAGCTCGCTGCAGCCATCTCATTACAGCCTGCCACCCTCTCTTGCACATGACGTAGCAACCAAGTCTGTCCTCAGATCGACAATAGCTTGGCTATGGTTGTGATTTTTCTGCCCAAGCTCCAATCGTTTCGCAACACTGGCGAATTATATGCTTGTTTAGAAGATCACACTCCCAGAGGCCTTGGTGTAGCATTGGCATGCTTGGTGGGCTCGCGTGCCATGCCTATCAATATCGGCAAACATTGCTGCGGGCTATCCCTGAATACACTGATCTTCAATGCTCCATGTCCTTGAGATCAGGTCCCGACATCGATTCTGGTGTACCTCAACCAGAATCCTCACCTTCCCAACAATCATACCCCCTGCCCCAGACAATGCTGTAGTCTGGTAAGATTGCCCTTGAGCTCACGGGCGCTCTCTTCGGGTATCTAGAACGTACTCTACAAGTAGCGCAGCGCCCTCTACCGTTTTGCCACTGGCAGCAACACTCGATCATCGGACTATTATAATGCTCCCCAAGACGTTCACTTCGATCCTGAAACAGCCCCGATATCTCCTGATAACGAGGGCTTAATCCTAATTGAGTACCTTGTGCGCATGTGGCGGCGGCGATTTCGCATATGACGGCAAGAATATCGATAATGTTCGCTGCCACGAAAAAAGGGACTACCTGGCCCCTCAGGTTGCGGAAAAAATAAATAAACTAAAGGTGTGGCGTGGAGAAGATGTCAAAAAAGCAAAGTGCAAGCCTGGACAAACCCACCTGAATGGTACCCAAGATTCAACCACACTATTTCTCCAGCAGCCCATTGCACTACTTACAGTCCTGTTCCGTGGTTTGCTAGTGGCGATTTCAGATGATTATCACGCTGTAGTAGTATCAAAGACATTTCTTCAAGGATAGAGACTCTTTGTTTTGACACCTCAAAGCCCGCGGACGCAGGGGTCCGCTTCGTCAGAAAAGCAACACCGTTGAGCATAATACGCTAACCACCCATGGGGACCAGATACAGGCTAACCCTCAGAAAACGTTTACCAACCAACCGACCTACACCATCCACTGAACTGCTTTTCCTCGCTTCGGGACCTACGCCATTACACTATAGGCGCCACTCCACACTGCACCAGGCCTTCGTTCACGTTAGTCCCTCCAAACCGACCCTTCACACTCCCGTGCCGTGCTGTATGTGACAGCGGCGCCAACACGGGGCAGCCACGCTTCTATCCGCAGCCCGTGCCTTGATAAACATGCTCGAACAAGCACATCAAAAGCCATGCGATTTGCGAGATCCACTAAAGTGCATATAAACACCAAGCGACGCACCAGGGGTTGCGATTCATGGTCCCCAACTTCTTGACACTTTGTTCCATCACTAGCCATGTCAGACAACTTGAAGCCCGCCATCATTGGCGTTAACATAACGTTGATATTGCTCACTTTGTTGGCTATCAGTTGTCGTATTGGAAGAAAGTTTCGAATGGTGAGCAGCTTCAGCTGGCACGATGGTAGGTTGACTGCGGGCATGTCATCATCAACTTTACTGACGATCACAAGCTCTCGCTGCGTACGCAGGATTTTGTGCCATCATGCTCTCGATCGTGCAGATGGCCAGCACACATATCGGTGGAGGCCTAACCCTCGATGCTATTCCACCTGAGAATATCACTCCTTTTCTCAAGGTTCGCCTCCACAGCCTCGACATCTGATATCTTCTGCTAACAGTGTACACAAAAGATGGTCATGGCATCGTTGTTCTTCTACTTCATGTGCAACTGGGCTGTGAAGCATTCGTTGCTTTGCTTTTACTCCGAGCTCACCTTCGAACACTCGCATCGCATATTCATCTACGTGATGCACGTCTTGGCTTTCATGTTTGGTTTTTCGTGCGTCATCATTGGTATTTTCCAATGTCTCCCTATCCAGAAGTTCTGGAACAACGAGATTGAAGGATTCTGCATCGACAATGACGCATTTGGCTACTACAACTCGATCTTTATGCTCTTGAACGACATCGTCCTCTACATTATGCCAGTCATCTTTACCTGGAACGTCAATCTACGCCGCTCTCACCGCATCGCCGTCAACTGCCTCTTTGCTCTTGGAGGCCTGGTCCTAGGAGCAAGTGCCGCACGTGTCTACTTCATGGACCAGCAAGTCAAGCACCCGGATTTCGCATTCCGCTTCGCTTCGATGATGATCTGCTCCGTCATCGAAAACCACCTTGCTGTCATTGTCGCATGCGCGCCCAACATCAAGGCACTCATCGTGTACACCTTCCCCAGCCTGCAGGGCAAGTTCGACAAGATTATCAGCACTGGCGATGCCTACCGCCACAAGTACAAGAGCGGTTACAAAAGCAAAGATTCCGCTACTCTCGATGTGGAGTCTTCAGGAATCATGAAGATGAAGGACGTAGAGGTCAGAGTGGAGAAGCCCGAGCGGCCTGGCTTCTTCTCGACTGGAAGCTCAAAAAGTGGGAAGACTAAGGACCAGTGGTGGCGAGCGCCAAATAGCTGGGCTGTCGAGTCTACCACGACTACTATCGCGTCTACTAATCAGAACTAAGAAAGCTTTGGACTATGGGGACATGTCATGTTTGAAGAACTGATCCTTTTGTAAACGTGGTTATGCAAGTTCATTGTATCTTCCTCTATTATCATAGTCGACTATTCATAAAGCGAAAAAAATGAGTTTTCATCTCTCATTACGCCTTCTCCCTGAACGTCCTTGCAATCCAAAATTACCCATTTTCCGATATTGACTCCCTTTTCCCAATGCATTACTCCGCCCATTGCGCTCGTTGTTGTACATATATTATCGACCATGGTTACTCCGTCTATTAGCGTGCAACAACGTTGCTCGTCCCCACATGCCTCGACCACTTCTAGGTTCACTGGTACTTGACTTCCGCACCCTCCTGCGTCTCACGTTTTCGTCGCTTTCCACTCTCTTTCCCAAAACACAACCATCCACTGATAGCCGCACGCAATCGTTTCCAAAATGATTCCTTCGACATTCCATCCCTTGTAGTCGTAATAGTGACGGTGGGAGGCTGGGGTAGCGCCGTAATGCTTAAATCGTACGCATCCTGTAGATTAACCAGGGTTGCGCTTTGGGGGCGGTTGGAGCTTGTAACTGGGTTTGAAGCAGGCTCATGGTAATCATGGAACAGAATAGAGTTTATGGGGAGATGGCGCGACTGCATATTTTTTTTGGTGGCGTTGAATGGAAGACAATTTGTTGGATGGAAAAAAAGACGAGAAACTTGCTTGTCGGGCGGCGTTGCCTGACAGATTTGATGCAGTTAAGGTTTTACTTGACATTGACAAATGGTTGCGCAATAAGGGGTGAGATGCTCATGGAAAACGGGGTTATAGGTGGCGCGTCATTGTTTGGACAGCCAAACACCCGTTGTTGTGTAAACGGTGGTGAAGGTGAAGGTGAGGATGGGAGTGAAGACGAAGGCGATAGCTAATCGTCCGTTAGTGGATTACGCACCCAGCCTAATCGGACTCTTGGAGTCAGGCTGCGGTCTCCCTATATGAGTCGTGTTATACAGGTTAGATTGCAGGGGTAGCTTGTGTTTCGACGTCCGTTAGTGATTACAGAGAAGAATATCGGTCGGATCCTATGGAAGCTATGATGATGATGTGGGAGTTTGGGCGATCAAGTAAATGCCTCCGGTCTCCTAAAACCTCGGACAGAGGCGGAGTGGAGATTGATTGTGGAAATTGAGCAAGCCAAGAGCGGAAGAAATTAGGCAATTGCCCGGCATGACATGGTTCGCTCGAATCCATGACTAGGAAGTGTCAGATTTTAATAGGGTTGTGTACGTATACGCAAGCCTACAAAAGCGATGAAGTATCTTCTACTAGCGTTGATACAAGAAGACGCGTTGCCTGTCAACAATGACATCTTTAGTCTGACAGGCTGACCATAGACATCTACCGCTGTAGTAAACAACCTAAGAATGGACACATCCCCCATGATTCCCGTCCGCGCGTTTCCGAATACGGTTGCTTCGGCGATTTAACGATGAGATTTCCCCAGATTTTCCCGAAGACGGAGCGGAACCCCCCTGTGCCACCAATCATCCGTCGGCCTTGTTGATTTAGCCACGCCACCACACTCAAGATCGAGTTCATGCGTAGGCAATTCTTACTGTAATAATCCGGCCGAGGTCTAGCTCGCAAGCGTAGTCACAACGGCTGAACTGTAAATCCCAATCTAATACAGCTCCTAAATCTAGGCCAGACTGTGATATATTAGTATAAGTATGTGTCGGCCCTGCCTTCTAGAATATCGCTGTGCTTGCAAAGCAACACTGATCCCAACATCATGAAGTCGCACATTTCCTTGTCTGCCGTCCTAGTCTGTGTCCTCGGAGTCGTTTCCGCCGACAAGCAAGTGCGCACGAAACCGGACCAAGGAGCCTTAGTCGTCGATGCATTAGGCGCATATCCGAACAGCTACCTCAACATCAGTGCCGCTGTAGCAGGACTTCACAACAAGACAGACGCCCAAAAGATCTTCATCTTCCCCGGCACATACACCGAGCAGGTCTACATAGGCCGGCTCGCAAGTCCCCTTACCATCCAAGGCTACACCAATGATTCCACTACCTACAAGAAGAACCAAGTCACCCTCACCTACAACCTCTCGCGCAAAACCCCCGGTCTAGCCAACAACGACGCAACATCCACCCTCCGCCTCTGGACCTCCAACGTAAAACTCTATAACCTCAACATCGCCAACACCTTTGGCGACGGCGCCCAAGCCCTCGCGCTCAGCGCCCAAGCCACGAACCAAGGCTTCTACGGCTGCAGCTTCACCGGCTACCAAGACACCATCTACGCAAACGAAGGCCGCCAAATCTACGCCAAATCCTTTGTAAATGGCGCCGTGGATTTCATCTTCGGACTCCGCGCCGTCGCCTTCTTCAACAAACTCGACATCGAAACTATCGGCACCGGCTTCATCGTCGCCAACGGCCGCGACTCAGAGGAAAACACGAGTTTCTATGTTTTCAACAAGGTCAATGTTACGGGGTCTAGTGGTCCCGGTTCGATCGATCTGGGAAGACCTTGGAGGCCGTTTAGCAGAGTGCTCTTCCAGCAGAGTTACCTTGGTGATGTGGTTACGCCGCGGGGCTGGTCGCGGTGGGACGATGTGCAGAGTACGGATAATGTTACTTTTCAAGAGTATCAGAACTACGGGCCTGGAGCGAATACCTCGGCGAGGGTGAGCTGGAGTTCACAAGCTAGCGCGCCGGTTAAGGCGTCGGATTTGTTTGGGAGAGATTTTGAGAAGGAGCATTGGGTGGATGTTGATTATTTGTAAATTACTTTCATGAAGGAGGGGACTTGTGTATATATGATTGATTTTATGGGTTACGGTAAATTTTTAGTGCTATTTTTCCCCCCAGCTGCTTCGGTAGATTCACGTGTGCAATGATTATCTATGTAGAACAATTACGTAGCCCTATCCTGACTTGGCTCAAGCTCGTCCGACCTCACCCTAGGACATAACCTCCAAGGTACATCCTCAGGCCATGACGGCCATAGCGTGCTGCTTGGTAGTATGCGCTCAGTGAAGAAGCCCGCATCTTTCAGCCCTTTATGCAAATCGCCGTACAGTTCCGGCACCAGCTTCATACTAGGAAATGATCGAAACTCAGTTTGGTTGGAATTCAACACACGTCGCAAGATACGGGCGGGGTAATTCACCCGGTCATCACCCCTGTGCAAGTCTCTAACGGGTAAATAATAGTGTACTTCCCAATCAGTGGTCGTATCAGAAGTCATGATTCTGAGAAGATCCTCAAGGCGAGTCTTGGGGCTAAACCCGTCCATGTCCCGCCAGCAAGCGAAAAGGTGATCGAGGTGCAAAACTGCCTTTCGCTTCACACCTTGTTCCTTGAAATGAGCAAAGTTGTGCTCGGACGCAGCTCGCCAGATTATGAATGCTTGTTTCAATACTTCATAGATTTGAGAGAGATCTACATAGATCTCTGTATAGGGGTGCTGGCGGAAGGTGGAGGATGGGTGGTTGACGTGGAGATGGAAATGCGCATGCCTGAAAGATGTAAGGCCAGTAAAGACGGTACTCTGTATCCCTGATATTGATGGGTTACCATTCTCATTGATGTCAGAAATCAATTTGCAGAAGTTCATGTCAGCCATGATGGGGATGTAGGCTGTAGTGCGGGCTTCGAGCATGGAGCGCGCCTCGGCAGTGGTCTGTTTGCATAAAGAAAGTATACTTGAACCTTCGCAAAGGGGTTTGTATGGTCCTGGGGGGCAGACAACGAGGGCATTACCTGCAGCGTCATCACCCAAATCTAGCACGTACTCGGTGATGAAATTGCGGATTTCAGGCGGAAAGCGTAGCAGAGAATTGTTCTGCATCTGCTCGCTTTCGCTGTCTTTTCCCATAGATCCGAAACGCACTTGAGACTGGCGGGTCACCTGAACTGCCTTCTCGACCTCTTTCCTCTTGAGTTTTTTGTTCAGATAAACCTTACCTACATGCATGGGAACTTCACCGTAGAAGAAACGACCGGAGTTCATTGTACCGATGTAGTGTTGTGTTAGGTCCGAATGTAATCAAGGGCAGACAGCAGCTTCTGTTGAAGAGGTATTGGGCGTACTAGAATGGTAAACCTTGGAGAAATGAAGAACTTAGTCTCAGTCTCCAATAGATGGAGGGATGATTAGATAGAGAGGAATGTTTTATAATGAGCCGTGGATCAAGTTCTCGATAAAAACCTATTAAGGTTGGAGAGAGTTGTGCATATACCCAGATCCATTGTTAGTGCACAAATTGCTCTTTTGGTAGTTGCTAAAGGACTTTCGTGTAGCGCAATGTGAATGGAAGTCATACGTTCACAGTGTCTTTGAAGTGTGCTGGCGACTGTCTCCCCATCGTTCCTTTTATTTGAATGAAGAAAGTAATTAGAAGTGAATGGAGTAATATCACGAGGGTTTCACCTTCATTCAAGGTCGATTTAATATATTGGAGGCTGCTCCGAATCTTCAATTAAGATTTTTCTTCTCCGAAGGGGTGGCTGAAGGAGGTAATTTAGGATGTTTCACCAAATAATGAGATCCTCAGCAGGGTTGTGATGAGTAGTTTCGAAACTATTTTCATTCTCAAGTATTTGGTGGGAGTCCATAAGACACGGTATGGAATCGCCATGTCGTTCCCGTTCCGAAGGAGGATTCAGGGCGTCCGCAGTGCTGCACGAGCTTCATTAGTCTCTGTTGGTAACCGCTGCTTGAGTCTTCAAATTTCGATAACTGCTGTAATACACATGGTGGTGTCGCATTCGTGAGGAACGCCGCCAGAAATGAAGAAATTAGAAAAGTCTGGGTTTTTTGATGGCTAATAAAGGTGAGTGGAATGTCCAAAGAAGAGTTAGAGATGTACGATCAGGTCGACATTTAGAAGTTGATACATTAAGAGTTTTGGCTACTCAAGGCACGGACAGGGTATAGTTCACCCTGCTTTTGGATCAAAAGATTCAAGGATTGTGTCAATCTTTAGGCAGGCTGCTGTCAAGCACGTAAACATAATGATTCGTAGTGTCTTGCGCTCGGTTGTGCGGTTTAATGATGACGTTCTTGGAACATCACCAGCACGTCAAGCTCGGGCCCGACATACACCCATACTTTAAGAACTTCGAGTATCCAGAAAAAAATACATCCAAATCCCCAGAGAACTCATACAAAACAAACCATAATGTCAGGAGTCTTGAAAAGCTTTTCGCGCTCAGCGCCCATTGCGAGTCGCGCTCTTCAACAGCGAGGTCAGGGTGTGTATCTCGAGCATTGTATTACCAAAAGACTTTCTAACATATCAACCCAAGCTTTGCCCCCGATTATTTCTCGTACATATGCCAGCGGCGCCGTACCTGGCCAATCGTCCAATGTATCCAACCCGCAGGCGAGCAGCGCTGAGAGCCAGTCGATCAACCACAGCGCCTCGATTGGACAGACAGACAAGAATGATGGCGACCACGTATCGATACAGAATCCAGTTAGCCACCCAGAAAATGATCGGGTAGGAGCATCGGAGGAGGGTACTGAGAGCCAGGACCACATGAAGCATGACCCAAATGAGTCGGATGCGAAGAAGAGGGAGAAGACTTTGGAATATGGCCAGAACAAGCCTTTGGATGCGGCTGACAAGTAGTTCGTTCTGTGAGCTTATTAATGCATTGTACTTTAGAGGTGTAAAAACCAAAAGCTCTTGTAATAAAGAATGTAAAGATTCACCGGAAGGTGCAGTAATCCACTAGCATTCATACACACAACAAACAATCGAAAAGAGTCTTCTGGATATGATTACCGTCTTTCCCTTTGCACTGTTCATAAAAAAACTTGGTTACCCCCCAGCATTAGTCGGCATTGCTACCTATTTGACTACACAAGGGATTTACGATCTCCTGAAACATACCTTTGAACACCGGCTCGCTAAAACATCTTGTTCCCTACATCAGATCTTGAAGTAGAGCAGTTCCCCAGCAGGCCCCCATAACAAGATTCACTTGTCTACAGCCCAAAATGGCAGTTTCAGACGAGCACGATCTATGTGGCGCTTCGAATTAGGTTAGTGGATAAAAAAAACACTCTTGCATGAAACATACGCGGGATCTGGCGACCTTGGGGTCAATGCGCCTTTGAACAATTGTTTTTGTGTGATTGAGATTTCGTGGCTGCGGTACCCGAATCCTCCAATACCTTGGCATTCGAAAGCACTTCGAGTCCGTCTGCTGTTGGAGGCGAATCTCCGACCCGAACAGTGCTGACTTGACTATTGAACCGCAAGTAGCTCGAATGGCCGCCCTGGGAGTTTCCCTTGATTAACGTGGATCACCTTTTTAGGTAATTGGCCTGTTGTTATGCAGCACGTCCTTGCCGGTACTTACTTACTTACGTCCGCAAGCCGACTAGCTCAACCGCCGTCAACGCCGCAACAAATCTCCAATGCCTGACGAGCGGTAAGATTCCGGACGAAACGATGTGACGCGAAGCTTGGCTCGTGTTTCGAAACCAGGTACCGATGGCGGAAACGAGGCGGGCGCTAGTGTTTGGCAGGTAGTACATACAGCCAATAACCTCCATCGCGTGCATACTAGCGCCCCGGTGCCATCTCCCGTCGTTCATGCTCTGCTCCTTGAGGTCCACATTTGCCTTGGGCATTCACGGCGAACACTCTGCGTTGGGAAAAGAGAACAACGGCGGGTTGTGACGCCTGGGGCCTGGGAAGCTCAGCAGAGAAAGTAAGGAGGGATGTTCCCGTGTGTGGGACGAAGTGTTTGTCGCAGCCTCAGGCATAAGTAGGACGAGGGGGCGCGCCATTGTCTACGTGCTTGTTTTCTCTTCATCACGCTTCATTCGTTTTCCAACCAAAACCTTCCATTCCATTCCTTTTTTCTTCTTTTCCAAAGGCTGTGCCAATACATTCATTCCACCAGACACAGGCATGTCTCTTTACACCGTCCTCACCGCAAGCTTGCTTGCGCAATACGCAAGCGCCTACACCCAAGTCAACGTCCCCTCACCCTTTATGCAAAAAAACATCGACCCCATCGTCTTCCCAGGCTCCTTCGACAAATCCCATCTCCACTCCTTCTACGGCTCCGACGCCGTAACCGCCACCACCAAAACAAGCGCCGAGCTCCAAAAAGGCTGCACAAGCGCAGAGGTCGCAGACGACCTAAGCGTCTACTGGGTACCCACCGTCCTCTACACCGCCGACAATGGAAAATCCTACCTCCCAGTCCCCGTCTCGCGCTTCAGCGCCTACTACAACCTCGGCGAGACCCCCGCCGAAATCGCCATTCCCCAAAACGTGCAAATGGTCGCCGGCAAAGCCGAAGCAAAAGACAAAGCCAGCATGGATCCCAACGCGAAATCAGAGTGGTTCTGCGAAGGCGACGACCCCGTTGCCATGGATGCAAACGGGTTCCCTAGTAAATCCTGCTCGACCCACCTCCAACAGCTCCTGTACTTCCCGCAATGCGTCAACCCCGAGACGCTGGCGACAGGCTACAAAGACCGCGCAAACGGCACACCAAACTGGTGCCCGAAAGGCATGAAGTCGATGCCCCAGCTGCGCTTCTCGATCCGCTACGATCTGCGCAAGGCGCTGCCCAACGGCTGGTCTGGCACTGCGCCCGTCAAGCTCGCGTGCGGCAATGCGTTTTGCTCGCACGGTGACTTTATCAATGGGTGGACGCCCGAGGCCGCCGAGAGTATGGTTGCCACGACTAAGGAGAAATATCATTTTCTTCCAGTCAAGGGTAAGCTTGCTGCGACGGCGTGCAAGCCAAAGGATGCGGATCCTACCCGTGGTACGAGTGATTATGCGAAGAGCGTTGCGGCCATGGCGAAGCGCAGTGTTGCTGCTTGGGGCTGGGAGACGAGGTCGAGACTTGCTCGTTTGGTCAACGGGGAGTGAGGAGAGGGGATGAGGTGTGTGTGTGTGTGTGTGTGTGTGTGCTGGTAATAGGCACACACATGATAATTTTCGTTCTGTACATATATATATTATGATACCAGATTATTTTTGGCTTAGGTCGATGCGGGTATTGTCGACGCAGCGGTAGCTTGCAAATAGGACTTGTTTCTATGATTTACCTTGAGAACCCTTTTTGACCTTTATTCTGTTAAGCAATGGCTGTCTTTTTGTCTGGAATGATAACTTACCTGGGTTACTGGTAGACGCGATCCAAACCTGCTGTTCCATCTCCATCCACTATAAAGGATACGGTTTACACCTAATGTATGACACTGCCTTGCAAGCAACACAAACCACATCATTCCTAGTCAAAACACCCCCAAGTATCTCACAACAACGCAGCAAGACTAAGACAGGAGTAATTTCCATACATAAATTACTTGTACCGACAACTATACCCAAAACCACCCTCTACGCTTCCCCTCTAGTGCAAGAACTCCTTGAAAAAGTTAACCGCACTCCTCTTCGCGCGCTCCAATCCCGCCTTCTGCGCCGCATCCTCAGGATTTCCGCGTACTGCAAACCCATGCGTCAAGCCCGGGAAATAAATATACTCCCATTGTACACCCGTCTTGGGCAGAATATCAAACGTAGCCTGCTTCAACTCAGGCGTGTAGGTAAAATCGTTTTCGGGGCTGAGAATCTGCACTGGGACCTTGACACCTTCAATCTCCGACTTGTCGAGTAGCGAGGGGTGCGCGGTGGAGATGGCGTCGATGAGCGAGGGGTCAGCAGCAAGCTTGAAGGCGGCCCAACCGCCGTAGCAGAAGCCAATGGCGGCGACTTTCTTGTATTGCGACTTGAGGGTTTGCGCGTGGCCTTTGATCTCCGGGTAGCGGACTTGTTTGTTGTGGCGGCCGAGGAAGGCGCCGATGTCAAAGTTCTTTTGCTTTTCTGGGTCCGAGAGCGCGGCAGGGTCTACGACTTCGCCGTCAAAACTGCGGGAACCATGGTTAGAATTGGGGGTCTGCATATGCGTGGGTTGCGATGGTTTTCTTACATATCGGGTACGTAGACGGTCGCATTGGCTTCTTGCGCGTAGTGGTCCGCGATTAAGCGGACGTTCGGAAGCGTCCAACCGAAAACGTCAGTTATGATAAGAATCGCGGCGTCTTTGGAGTCGCCGGTTACGTAGGCATTGACATTGTTGAACTTAATTTCCTTGCCAACGGTTTGGCCGTTCCACTTGAAGCCGCTTTTGCAGTTGTCGCAAGACATTTTTGAGTCTTGAATTAGGGTATTTTAAGAGTAGTTAAACGGGATGATGTCGTGATTGAGGATTCTAGAGGGATTGTAGTGGGGTACTCAGTTCTTAAATCTTCTAGGCATTGGGTGGGGTAATCTGCCCTGCCGTCCCCATATAACATGGCAAGAATACAAACCTGAATCTGGCCGTCTCGCCGTATTGAGAGCCAATCATGAGGCTCGAGGGATACATTGCGTAGATTCGCCTTTCGGCGTTGCCATGTGCCCGATGACAAAACCCCCGGGACTCCACGCAGGCCTCCACCCTACTAAAACCGATAATGCGCAAGAAAATGAGCAACTTCAGGGTTTGATGGCATTGCTACAATGTTATAATCATAGCTATTCTGTACGCGTGACGTCTTTTCTGTATCGTAAATCATTGTCCATGATTATAAAAGGCCTAAAACAGGCGTGGGTAAATGGCGCTACGGATTGTATGAAGTGCAAACCATTTTAGAATCCCGGGGACTTTCCGCACCTGGTGCCCTAGTAACAATGATGACGATATTCTGGGGCGGAATTAATCGCCGCCTGCTTTTAAATCCGACAGAATCCAGATCGCCGAGCTTTGCCGAGGTACAGGTTTTGGGCAAACGTCAACTCTTCCATCATCGACGTCTTTCCCTTTTTCGTTCAGTAGGCCCGCTTTGTGAAGCAAATCCGCTCAAAGTAATGATTCTTTTTTCCAGGAATTCGCTGCAAGTCATGGACTGCTGTAGTTTAGCAAGTACAGATATATATTGGGTAAACAGACACTCTCAATTCCTGGACTCTCTCAGACATAAAGCAATGCCTTTATGGCACATGTCCTTGAGACTCTAGTGCTGTTGTATATCATCCTCTCAAATATGTGCAGCATTCGATATCGGAACTTATTATGTTAGCTGTTCCCCCAAGATTCGTTCATCCAGTAACCCCGCTTTCTACAAATCATCTTGGAACCTCTTGCGGTAGTACTAAGATTTACCAAGTGTTGTACGTAGAGAAGTCCAAAAATTTCTTCCCTTCGAACTAGGGCAAGGGTAGCGTGAATAGCTTTAGAAGTCCAGACTGCCCGCTTAGTAAAGATTCCACTGCCACGACCAAGAATGTCTCTGGATGTTCTCGCCTTGGCTCCGCCAAAAATCCCCGACATTCGTTACCAGACATCTGGGCCTCTTACAAATCTCTAGTGATGTGAAGTTGGCACGCCAACCGCTTTCGGTAAATCCGATAGTTGTGCAACACTGATATTCCCGAGCCATCTTTTTGGAGTTATACCATTGACATGGCACATAAGAGGTAAGCAAGGCCATTGATTCCTTGCAAGAGTGAAGTCTCGATGTGCTTCTTTTGTGGGGCTAGACATGGTCTTTCAGAGTCTCGCCATGCTAGCAGAAGTATTCAATACCAAACGACGGAACCATTGCATTAGGTATTTTCCGGTGAGAAAAGGATAAGCTGACTATGCCGCTAGTTCCCGAGTCGCACATCCCCAGGTATACCAAGAGGTTTCTTTGATCAGATAGCCGAATCTAGACTTTGGATCATGCCATATGCTGTCGGGGTCCTGGTACGAAAGTTTGTCCCCAATGCTGCCTCATGTGCCGGTCAGAGTTACATCGAATGTGAAGTAAAAAGCCAAGACCAATTTTTACAACGTGCGCGGTAGTTATAGGTATGGTTTCAGCTGCCAAGAACTATATGCATCGGGGATGCGCGAATGTTCCCAGAAATAAAGATTTTACGGAGGTGTATGGGGGTAGGGTGTCAAGCATGCTGACAGTATATGCGACAAAACAGTCGATGACTGCTGAACTCAGTAATCGCTTGCGCACACATCATACTACATTGGCTTCAGCCTAAAAATGTACATTGATTTAACTCACTCACCGGCATTCATCCCATGTTTTGCTGCTAAGAATAAGGCCATTATACGCTTACGATGGCATCATTGGCGCAACCCTGGTCTATCGTGATGAAGATCTTGGGTTTCTCACCACAAGGGTCTGTTTAATCACAGCTTCGCTAGCTGTCTTCCGATGTCTGGAACCCATTTCTGTATGCCCGGGCAGCTGGACCACGCCCTTGGGAAGAACTGCGGCCCAAGGATCTTCTTCTGGACTTTCCCCGTGGCAGTTTTTGGCAGCTCGCCGTTTACAATTCGCAAGAGTGTCGGCAACTTGTACCCGGCAAGTCTTCCACGGAGATCCCGCCGTAGCTTATCAATAATTAATGAGTTTCTCGTATTGAGCCGCTTGTCTGGAAAATCCATTGTCATATCCTCTTCTTGTAACGAGACTAGGGCTGCCACACGTTGCCCAAACTCCTCGTCTGCAACGCCGACGACCATGGCTTCGGCGATGTATGGCAATCCCAGCAGTTCTCTCTCAACATCCAGAGCTGATATTTTGTACCCTCCCGACTTGATGATGTCCAGGGACGCTCGTCCGAGGATGAAGTAATACTTCCCTTCCCTTCGTGCAAGATCGCCGGTTCGGAAGTACCCATATTCATCGTGCGCAGTGGCTGTACCTTCAGAGTCATGTAGATATTTCATAAGCATATGCTGTATTTGATTAGAGCCCTCTTCCAGCAAGTTCGAAGTGACGTACTGGGCTCTTGATGAGTATCTCTCCTTCATTTCCCTCGGACAGCTTCACATCTACACCACTCTCAAGTTCACCGACAGAACCTTTGGGTGTGTCTTTATCTCCAAGTCGCATTTTGAAGATTGCGCCGAACTCAGTTGCTCCATATCTTTGCAGGATATTCTGCTGCAATAGGTCTGTCCAAAAGTCGTTCAGCGGCTGAGGTAACGCCGACGTTCCGCACAAACAAGCGCGGAATTGCCGTGCGCCAGCAACGTACGGAGCTAGTTCATGTGCAGGGAGTTTACGCAGGTGAGTTTGATAAAATCGTCTAAGTCGCATCCAGATAGTGGGCACTGCCGAAAAGAATGTAAGTCGCCTTGAAGGGTGGGCTGCCCCCTCCTTCCAGCGCTTCCACGTCCAAGCCTCATCGAAAGCTCCGCTACGGAACTCGATTTAACTTCCAGAAACGAGGAACGGAAAAAATTTATGCCGACCCCTGTGGCATGATGTACTGGAAGGAGGTGGAGTATGACGTCGTCTTCAGTCAAGTGATAGTGGTCAGCGATGGACAGCGCACAGTCAAAGACGTATGATCTCCGCATCACCGCACCCTTGGGTGGTCCCATGGTGCCACTTGTGAAGATCACCACTGCGGGCGCGTTCTCCTCCAAGGCCCGATCCGATGAAATGATTACTTCCTCAGCGCCAAGAGTGGGGGATGAGACGAACGGTCCTATTTCGACAGCCCGAAACTGTGCGTTGCTCGTGGAACAGATGCGCCTTGCAAGAAGACAGCATTTGTCTATATTCTCCGAACTCGCAAGAACGAGCGCTGATCTGGACTTTTGGATGAACTATGCCGCCTCACTTACAGGCACTGCTGGCGTCATTGGCACCGCGGCCGCCCCAAGCGCCAGTACCGCCAGCATTGCCACGGTGTATTCGTAACCGCCTGGCGCGACAATGGCCATGTACACCTCTTTTCTATTCTCTAGCGCTTTGCGGGTTGCGTCATCGAGGGCATTGAGAAGGGTGTTTCGCAAGGCCAAGACATCTGACAGCAGATGGATATGGGTCTTCTGCAACTCGACACGAACATCCTCGATCGCTATGCGTGCGGGGATTTGGCAGGCAAATTGAACAAGTCGACTAAACAGAGGCTATGCAGACATTAGTAACCAGTCACAGTCGACCTAGATAGATGCGTGCAGTGTAGTGAGTTCGTACAGTATTCGGAAGCACGTTGTCACCAACATGGCTAGGGACGACACTGGTTCGGTCCACCATGGTAGTTTTGCTAGTGCCAGTGCCTTTGCCGTCTTACTCAGACCAAGACAGGACAAATAGTAGGTCGAATGCGCTTCCCAGCGTGCATCGCCGGCACGTGTGTCCAGGATGATGGTAAGGCAGGGCTACTGTGTCGAGCGCTAGCCAAGAGACGTGGGGAAGTCGAGTCGCTTGCACTTGTGGGGAGTCATGGCATTTGGGTGCAGGGTGTCTTACTAGTCGATCGTGGCACAAGATCGCGGGGAAGACTCCCGTGGCCATCCCCGCAGCCAGTCGCTTCGGGCGCTAGCAGCCCGGCAAGGGCGCTCAGTACCCGTAACTAGTGCATGTCAAACGTCTTCTAGGCGACATTGCCTTTGACTCGCACAACGACGAGTCTGGTCATGCCATGCCCTTTTGGGTCCCCTCATCTTGACTGGGCCCCTGCCGAGCCATCCTTACACAAAACAGACTCCGAGACCACTGCCAGGACGCCAACCACACCACCCCTCGACATGCCGGCTTCCCAGCAGACCACCCCGTCATGATATCACGATACAGAATGCCCTTCCCTGCCAAGCTACGCATCCTAGCATCCATCATGTACATATACACATGTACTGACGAGTAGTACTCGAGTGGCGGCGCCGCGTCTTCCTTTGATGCCCGAAGCTGACATCCAAAAAGGCAACATTCCATGGGATTCTTCCTCTTATACATGATTGGGAGCCGGGCCCAATGACAATTAAAAAATCTTTCAACAAAGACGCGTCCCGGCACAGCCGTATAGCATCTGTCATGAGTTTTCCGGTCAACAAAAAGTCTATCGTACGTGCCCCACGCTTCAGTGTCTCAGCCGTGTCCACAGTCATTGAATCTATAGGTCGCGCGGATTGCCTTGTTGAATCAATCTCCGGGCTTATTTTTCCCTGTTTTTCATACCGTCGTTTGGCTGTGTGACGGACTGTGGTGCCACCGCTCGCACCCGCCAATCGAACGGATCACCAGGCGTATTCGGTTACTTTGGCGAAGTTACGTATGTGCTCGGGCTCGCGGCCGCCTATAATTCAGCCGATTGCTCAGTCATTTTGGTGGTTCGTTCGCGCATCGTGCATAAGGCGTTTCGCTTACCTATAGCTTGCTGTCGTGGCACGAGGCGTGGATCAATCATGGTCGTCTGGTCAGCCACAATGACTATAGCCACACCTACTTTTTGCCTTGTTGATATGTCGCCCTTTTAGACCAGGGGGTGTTCTTGGATTGTTTGGTACCTGTACCAGAAAAAAATGTTTGCTGGCATCACATGCTGGTCTTTGACCCACATTGGGACGGACCACACGCAACGTGTCTCCCACAAAGACCTACCGATCAGATGACGTATTGTTGCTGAGCTTGTGGAATTTTTTTGCAATGATAGCTCACACCGCTTTGTAAAAGATGCTATTTGGAGGATCGAGATGGGGGTCTTATGACACAGGGCAGGGCGTCAATACGTTGCACCTTGTGTCGCCAGGGGTGCATGAGTGGTGTGCGCGCACGACCATCCGTACGCCTAGCAGGGTGGGCTCCAGATTTCCGTTGCCTGGGGCGTACACCGACCTAAAAAAGAGGGACGTATTACGGCGTTTTAGGCTGCCATGGTACCGAAGATCGAACATTTTGCCCTGGGCGGCACATAGAGGGCAAAACAACGCCAGGCCGCCATTTTGCAATCCAGTGCGCCACGCAGGACCAAAAAAGACGCTGCCGCGACAGCAGGATTGGGTGACGCAAGCGACAAAGACGAGGCGAAGAAAAAAAGGGTAGGACCCATGCGCGCGCCCTGGGGGGCTTTGGGTGACCGGGATGCGAGTGCGAGGGCGTCAGCAAAGAACGACGATCATGTTTTTTTTCGAGCCGCATCCATGCCAGGCCCTGCACCTGGACCTGAACGATGAAGCTGAAGGAAGAAAAAGCAATATACCTGAACACCCCCCTCTCTCTTTGACATTGCCGTGTCGGGCGGCGGCGGCGATACTCAGGGCGGGCTTGGACCCTCTGCGAACACCCGGGCGGCGGCTGCATGTCATCCGGGTTCGCGATGTTTGGTGGTTTGGTGGTTTGGCGGTGCCTTGGGCGCAGTCTTGCAAAAGCGGCCGGGGAAGGCGGCACGAGACACGTTTGGCGCGGTCGAGGGTATGGAAGCGAGTCGTCGATAGGGCAGACCGGCGGGGAAGCGGGCAGTGGGCATGGCGTAGCCGCACAGATGTTTCCGCATGCGGCCATAGCTCACTCGGTCCGTGGGAGCGTGGACCGATGCCGCCCCCCCCCGTCACATCAGGCGCAGCTCCATGGGGCCTTGCGGTGAAGGGGTAAAATTGGCCTCGCGTGCTTCAAATGTCGTGTGTTTGTTCACCTACTCCAGAGCGTCTATGACTCTTTCCGCGTCTTTGGTATATATAACTAATTTCGGGAAACGCCTCAGCCATGTCCCTAGACCTACCACTATTGATCAGCAGGAGCAGGTTGCTGGGCTCTGTCGCGAGCTCTGCCCCCCGCCTACTCAATATGATTACCAAGCCGGAGAATCTGGCCCGTCGAACAAAGTCATTCCATCTCTCATGTCTGGATCAGAACATTGTGCGCGTGTATATACAAACGCTGTGTATATTTCCCGTATGTTGGCCCAGAAGACACAGGTGGACGAGCGAGAACACACGACCGTCGTAGAAGTTTAGTAGGTGCTGATTGTAACGCCAGTTTCCCGACCAGAATAATGCCGAAGCTGCCATACATGCGCTTGGGAATGGTATTCGCCTCTCGCTCAAAAAAATTCCTTTCCTTGCCGGTCTCCTCTCTCTACCCGATGCTGCCACGGGGAGGCTGGCTCTGGAATATCCAATTGAAGTGTCCGACGAAGAGCTGAATTGCATATTCCGATCAAAGCAAATCCCCTACCATGAGCGTGACTTTCCCTACACATACGAGCAACTCAAGCGAGACGGCATGCCACCCAGTGCTTTCAAAGGTTCCATGTTTGTCCCCGAAGATCTTGCAAACTACCCCGGTGTTCCCAAAGACGGCGAAGGCAAAGTCGACTTTGAAAAGAGCGACGCACCCGCGATGCGATGTCAAGCTTTCTTCATCCCAGGCGGATTGGTCCTTTCCACCTACATGCACCACAGCGTATCCGACTTTTCCGGCATCAACCTTTTCTGGGAAACCTTTTCAACAAACGTGTCCAATCTCCCGCGCCAACACTTGATAAGTGACAGCAAAATCTTTGGTACTTTTTACTTGGATCCCCAAAATTACTCCCAACCACAACTGACAATGACAGATACGATAAGCGTTGCTGACCGGCAATCGCGACTACGGCAAGCGGTTGATTGGCACATTAACCCACAGCAAACAGGTGGCGTTGCAGATTGCTACTGCGATGGGCCACCCACATATCGCAGGACACTACCTGCCGACACCGCCTGCGCTCAACGTCTTTTTGTAATCCCAGTCGGCCGCATACGCAGGTACCAGGACATGTTACGGCCTCACTTTCCACCAGAAAGTACGCCAACAATGTGCAATGTGCTCGCTGCGCTGGTGTGGACGCACGTCACGCGAGCCAGAGGAGACCGACTGCTGCAGCATGGCTTGCAAGAGACGAACCTCGGCATTGCCACCGATCTACGCAAACGCCAGAACCCATGCGTCCCCGCGGATTACACGGGTAACATGGCCCTATTCTCAAAAGCCACTCTCAACGTTTCAGACCTGTTGATCGAGGACCGGTGAGTTTGCTCTTCTTTCTTGTTCCCCATCCCCCCCTACGATCGTGCTTGTTTCACCTCTTTTTTTCTCTCGTTACACTTCGTGAACCCAACCCCCAGTGCCTAAAAAAAAGTTTGTTCCTCTGGACTCAAAAGAGAGAGATACAGAAAGAGAGCAGGAAAAAAAAGAAAAAAGAGGAAAAAAAGACATGTGCTGACATGAGAAACAAGCGTAACCCTCCCCACCATCATCCGCGTCATCAAAGAAATACAAACCGCCATCCTCGGCGTCGACGACACGTGGGTATCACGCCATCTCAAATTCTTCAAGTCGATCGCGCAAATCACCGATACCGAGATTTCACTAGGCTCGGCATTTGGATCGGACATGTACATTTCGAGCTGGTTAAACTTTGGCGCAGACCTCAGCTGGGGCATCCCCGGTACTGATCAAGGTAAGCACTCACTGGCCGGTCGGCCCGAGTTCATCAGGCGCACGTATGCGCCGAGCGATGGTGGAATCATCTTCTTGCCCAGACGCAGGCAGCTGGTTAATGGCACGGAAGCGCCGTTTGAGATTTTGGTACGACTTGCCAAGGAGGACATGACGCGCGTGCTCGACGAAGAGGGAGGGTTGCGCAGCTGGGCGGATGCTGTGCTTGAGTAGATTTGGGAGAGGGGTTTCGTATTTGGAACCACCCTTTTCTTACCAAACAAGAGAAGGTGTGTTTGCCCTAGTGCGACAGGGCTGTTGATGAAGCATTTTGGGAATTGCAACTCAAGGAGCATCTGGCGTTGTTTTTTCTTTACAAGAGAATTGGGTTATTCTCTGGGTCACCGGTTGGGATTGGACATCTGATATCCTGTACAATTAGCTTGTTTTGAGGTTAGTATCTTGGGACTTAAAAAGTGCATGTTTGTTTGCTTGCTTCGGCATATCATTTACAACTGTAATCAAATTCAATCTTGTTTGCTTTTCTTCTTGTATTCCCAAATGATTGAAGTCGTTCAGATCGTCCACTAGTTAGGATGTTCAGTCGACGCTGCCTGCATTGGGATAGCATGTACGTAGCCCCGCATCGCCGGCTCCACATGCCTAAGAGGCGGGGCCCGCACCGTTGTTCGCATCCACGATGAGACCCCCGCCCGACTCTGTTGTCTCGATGGCTGGAAGCGAACCGAGGTAGTAATGCTTGCCACCTCTCGTATTAGCACCGGATAACGTCAGCCGGAAGTGCTCTGAAGAATGCAGACTGTATCACATTGTTTGTGGAAGAGATAGCGGACTTCAAAAGGAATACGCCCAGCTCGCCCTAGACGGCTGCCGACTGGCTTGGTTGTAAGATCTTGATAGCAATCGGGGGATCGAATGGCAGCATGGCAGACTTCACCGACAATCTCAAGCCCTTGTACGACGGTACAGCAACACTCCAGGCTGAGCGCGACGGCTCGCGCATCGATGTCGATGAACTTGCACACCACCTCCTCGGCCGTGATGACTTTCTTGAACGGCAGAAAAAGGTCCTCGCCGTCTTGAGCAAGGAGAAGCTCTTCCAAAAAGACCAGCAACTCAATCTATCGCGGCCTGACCGGTACCACCTGGGTCTCGCGCGGGCAAAAGCCATCCAGAGGCTGAAGAGGCAACAGTGCTGGGATGACGAGGACTGTAAGATGGCGGAGTATCTCGTTGACGAGCCGAGCACATACTTCTTGCACCCGGCCATGTTCGGTGAGTCCAGTGATTATTACAAGCTGAGATACATATTATGCAGACCTTGTGTAACTGAGGCGCTTGGGCTAGACTGACATGTCTCGTGTCACCCAGTCACAACAGTGGGCGAGCAAGGCTCCGAGGAACAGCAAAATTACTGGATGCCCAGGATTGTCAACTACGACATCATTGGGTGCTATGCGCAGACTGAGCTTGGCCATGGCAGCAACGTCAGAGGGCTGGAAACCGTGGCCCTGTGGGACCCAATGAAAAAGGAATTTGAGATACACAGTCCAAGTCTGACTGCCAGCAAATGGTGGAATGGGTCAATGGGGAGGACTGCCATACATGCCGTATGTACCTCTCGCCCTTGTTGTACGGCGTTCCAGAACCCCCCTTCCTTACCAAAATTTCGCTTCTTAGAGTGAGGCAATCGCTGATGCGCGCCATGCGTAGATCGTAGTGGCGCAACTAGTTTTGCCAAAATCACGTAACCTGCCCAAAGAGAGTAAAGTTTCGAAACCGAAAAGTCTCGACTCGGATTACGTCGCCCACGGCCCGCAGACATTCATCCTGCAGATCCGGGATGAGAAGACGCATCAACCTCTGCCTGGAATAGCGGTGGGTGACATCGGGCCGAAATATGGCTACGCCAGTATGGATAATGGATACATGGTCTTTAACCACTTTCGCGTGCCCAAGTCGGCTATGCTGAGCCGGTATGCTGAGGTGTCAGACGAGACGGGCGCATTCGTGCGGAGAGGACATCCGGCTGTTGTGTACGGAAGCTTAACGTTTGTTCGAGGACAAATCATCATGCATGCAAGACTAGTCCTTGCACAGGCAGTCACTGTCGCAGTGAGGTACTGTGCCATCAGGCGACAGTTCAAGGATCGTGATTCCACCGATCCGTCCGACGAGGAGATGAAGGTGCTCGACTATCCGACCGTGCAGATACGTATCTTGCCACTGCTTGCAACTGCTTTCGCACTGCATTACACGGGTGAATACATGTATACGCTGTATCAGAGGTCGCGGGAGATGATAGAGACTGGAGACTTCGGTCCCTTGGCAGAATTGCACAGCGCAAGCTCGGGGCTGAAGAGTCTTTGCACGACGCTTGCTGCTGATGGCATTGAAACGTGTCGACGTGCAATGGGTGGCCATGGATATGGCGGTGGCAGCGGCCTTGTTGGACTCAATGCTGACTACCTCTCCAAACCGACGGTCGAGGGAGATAATTGGATGATTACGCAACAAGTGGCCGCGTATCTGATCAAGAAAATGAGCAATGCCATCGAACATCCTGACGCGCCACCCAAAGACCCAACGGATGAACTGTTCAGGTTCTACCTCAAGAACCGCAGTTATCACATGCCTCAGGAAGTAGTAAAGGACGGATCAATATATGATCAGACTATACTCAAGGTCTTTCAATGGCGGACAGCAGACCTGTCATACCGCGCCTATCAGGCTCGCGTGGTGGAGAAGCAGTCGTGGACACGCCTGATGATACAGCTCCACAGTCTCAGTCGTGCATACTCTGAGCAGATTCTCGTCACCAACTTCTACAATGGCCTAGGCTCTGTCTCTCCGGCCAACCAGTCTGCTTTGCGAACATGCTTCCGGCTCTACGCCTTGTACACACTTGATCAGTATGCTTCTTCGTTTACTATAACGGGTGCTGTTTCACCCGAGTCGGTACATGCTTTACAAAACACGGTACTTGATTTAATGACCGAGCTGCGGCCAGACGCTGTAAAGCTTGTAGATGCATGGTCGATACCAGACTTTCTTCTGAACAGTGCACTTGGGAGGCATGACGGTAAGGTGTATGAGGAGTTGTTCGACATGGCGCATCGCAAGAACCCATTGAACCAGGTCACTTTTAATGTGGACTGGCGTAGTGACGAGATTGTGCTGGGCAGTGGAGATGGGGGCGGCATGTGTTGGCGAAGCTGTAATATCCAGCCAATGCATTGTATACAGGTCCCAAGAGGGTGCTGGACAGAAACCCGTCAAGTGTCAAACGTGATGGGGAGGCGAAACTTGGGTAGCGTGAAACTGGATCGTGCTGATCCTTTGTTCTTTACCCCTCTTCCTTTTCCTTTACATTCAACTCTGTCGGGTCAGGGCCCTGATGTGAAATTGACTGGGACGAGAGTAATAAAAGAAAAAGTACCCCTGAAGACGTCATGGAACAGCTGCTTGTCCGTCTAGGTGCATTGCCGTGCATAGCGAGTCGACCGATGATGCTATGCAGTGAATCTAGATATGTAGAGCCACCAAGCCACTGTATGTAGGTATATGCATATGTAACTGTAGTTGGGCGGCCGTTGAAAAAGGGCCGATTGAGGCATGCACTGTGAGCTGATTCAAGGCCCTGGTATATGGCCGTTGAAACGACGGCATCCGGGGTATGTGGGCTGGGGGAGGGGTCGGGTGCCTGGTCGGAAGCTGGCGGACACAAAGGGCACGAAGGAAGCTGGGCAAGTGTACGAGGCCGGACAGAGACAAAGGATGAGAAGAGTTTACGCTAGCAGGTGGACGAGATGCCGGACGGCGGCGTCGAAACACTCGTGGAGCTAGGAGACAGCAACGGCAGTAGAAAAGCGGAAAGCCGTTGGGCAGCCAAGCCAAGGCCTCACTCCGAGTTTGACTCAGCAACGGTCGGAGGCCGAGCGCCTGTGACGCACGACGGGGGACTGCGGCACATCGAACACACACACACACACACTCACTTGCACACCCACACGCCCACACCATGCAGGGCCGTTTTCCCGGCCGCCGGGCCTGAACCATCCCACCAACCCCCTTGCTTCCCATATCTCATCTCGACCAGAAACTTTACATGGACGCTCTTCCGCCAGCCACCAGGCGCTTCGCTCGATGCTTGTAAAGGGCGTGGACTGGGTTTCAGCCTGATCGCTCACGTGAGAGCGCGCTACACCCCTTCTGACACACACGCCTCTGGTGACTGCGCACCTCCAAAGGCCTAAAGCAAAGAGCCATAGTTGTGTAGATTGGGCCGGGTGCTGTTAGCTTCCCGTCCTGTTTTTTTCTTATTCGCCTCCACATCATCTGCGTGCACTAGACCCCATCGCCCGTCAATGTCCTATCGCGGAAGGCCCAGCAAGGGTTGCGAGGCTTGTCGAGCCCGTAAGGTCAAGGTGAGCACACCGTTCCATTGCCCTCTCTCCCGTGGCCACATTGCACCCCCCAACCGCCAGGCTAATTCCACCGTAGTGCGACGAGGCTAGGCCGGCTTGCAGTCGATGCACAAAGGCGAGCCACGAGTGCAAGTATCGCGACCAAGCCGATATCCTCTTTCGGAACCAGACTGCTTCGGCAGCACAGCGAGCCGAGGAATCATGGCGGAAGAGATCAAAGTCCCACCAACGTCCAACCACGGCAGAAACAAACACGACTGCCTATGTCAAGACGCCTCCAAGCGATGCATCTACTCCGCCCACGCTCGACGACACACGCTCCTCGAGTGGGAGTGTGCACTCGCCCAGCGGGTCCACTGATGACGCTACCCAGGATGCATCCAACATTTCACTGGCTACCATTGACCTAAGCAAAATGACCATTACGCCGGCACCCAATCCGGACTTCCGCCGCAAAGCATTTGAGCGATTCGTCTATGACTTTGTACTGCCCGACTCCCCCACCATGCCAAAGGACGAGCCGTCAGACGCCTTGTGGACTTTTATTCCCGTGCTGTACCAGGGTGCCTCGGAGGACTCGTTGATAGCTACTACTGTTGATGCTGTTGCATATGTCAACTATGCAAACAGATACAAGGATGCCCATGCCGCTGCATTAGGCGAGGAGTGCGTTGCTAAAGCCATTCCCATGCTAACAAAGGTGATTGCGGACAAGAAGCGATCGGCTACCAATGAGGCCTTGTGCTCAGTTTATCTTATGGGGGTTTATGAGGTATGCAAGGACCGAGTTTTGGTTAGCACAGTCCTAACCTTGTCAGAACCTCACCAATGTGCAGCGAAAAGGCACGTTTATTGCCCATAATCATGGTGCTACTGCGTTGCTCCAGCTACGAACTGTCGAGCAGTACTACAGTGACCCGATTTCAGCCAGATTGTATGAAGTAGCCTATGCACAAATGGTAATACCAATGTATATTTTCCCTGTGCGTTGCTGACGTTGTCAAATAGTTACTCGGCAACCTACAGTCAGCAAAGCGCCCGCCCATCCCCAAAAAAGACGTAATCAAGGTGGAGGGGTACCTTCCTAGTCTTTACAGCAATTCTCACGTGTTTGTCATCCGTCTAATATGGAGAGAAGCCATGTTGCATGCAAAGTGGCATGAGATTAAGCAAAGCGCGAACCCGCCCACTAGTCGCTTAGCTATGCTAGAGATTTTCCAGACCGCTATCGAACTAGATAGCGCGTTTCAAGCCTGGGAATCGCCCCTCACGCCGGCCTGGGATTACCACATGGCACCAAATACACCAGAGGCTCGGACAGCTTATGATGAAAAATGGCGGAATCTCTTCCTAGCGAGTCGAGGTGCGCCGCCAGAGATTCATGCATACCAAAGCCTGAAGAGGTGCTGGATCTGGGGCTTTTTCAGAACCACTCGCATATTCCTCCTCCGTGACCTTCTTGAAATACTTAATTGGTTGTTGCGATTCCCAGAGCCGGCCCTGCCTTATCCTCCTATGGCCGAGGGCGGTTCTACAACCACTAATGGGCAGTCTGTTTCTGTTTCACTCAGCACCAAGAGTCTGCGTATGCAACAATCGATCACTACTACCCACTTGGTTGAGGTCATTGACAAGAATTGCTCAGCACTATTTGGTAGCTTTACAGTCCCGATACACCTCAAATCATATAATGATGTTGTTGGGATGAGAGGTTATGTTTGTTTGTGGCCGCTGGGTATCATGGACGCTGCTCTGAGCTCGGGCCTGGTTCCTGATGTTAACGGGCCAGGAAGCGGACAACCGTCGCCAGCAACCCACTTTCCGACGTTCCAGACATCGCCAAACAGCGATTCTTTCCAGTCGAACCCGGGCACGGAATTTAAAAATGCCTATGCATTGGCACCACAATTCTCGGAGCTCGCCACCATAGTGCCGAAACTGGAAGCATCAAGTGCAAGCAACAGTCCAGTGAACAGCACACCAGTATACGACCACATGGCGAAGAAGAACCACATTTTCGACTCCAACCCGGCACACCCGTATGACAGTCCAGTGCATCTTCCGGTAGACTTTGACATACCTGAACCAAAGAAGATGGACGTTGCTTCAAGACGTGAGTGGGTCAACCGCCTCTTATACTATCTAGGGACGGAGCTGGGACTCAAGAAGGCGCTATATGTGCCGCTTACTGAGGGGTACTTGCCGGTCGTGAAGCCTGCTGTTGATCATATTCTGGGTCGGTGATGGTGGTTGGGTTAGAGAGTGGTGGCACGGAGGATGTTTTGTTGTGTACAGCGCATGAAGATACGGAGCATGAAGTAACAAGGCATCCCGCAGGCGTTTGGTTGTTTTTTTTGTGTGTGCGAGGGCGGTTCTCCCTCGCGTTGTTTATCAAGCAACATATCCGTGTCTTGCTTTTCTTGTTGGGTGTATATGATGGAGAGGAGGGAAGAGGATGTGCTGGTTGTATATAAGCAAGGTTGGAAGTTGATGGTGGTAAGGTAATGGGGAGTAAAGAAAGGAGGGGTGATATATGTATGGAAACATGAGGGACAGGAAGTAGATTTAGTAACACGCTTTCTGGATAGTTATGATTAGGTATTGAATGGAATCTAGTACATTGATCACATCTCATTGCTCAAGCGACGGAGATAGGCCCCGCGCTAGTGCAACCTCCGACCCCACAGTTGAGGCTTACATAACGCACTCGTGTATCTGAACCTCTGACCCAACATTTGCCCCGTCCGCAGCCGCGATCCGACAAGCCGCATTGTTTGTTTCAGTCTGAGAGGTAATCGGACATTTCGACGCATTGAAATTTTCGAAGAGGCTAAAACCCGACAACATCGGTTGCAGACGAAAAGAGCTAGGAAAGAAACGGGATTCAAACGAAGCCAAAAAAGAAAGAGAAAGGAAAGACAGAAACAATGGACATTCGCGTGCTCCGCCCAGAAGATATTCCACACGTGCAACTGGCCAATATTACGAATTTGCCGGAAAACTACTTTTGCAAGTACTACCTGTACCATGCATTGAGCTGGCCGCAACTCAGCTACGTAGCCGTAGATGTAAGTTGCAGCACGTGACAAAAATATCCCCCTCAAACCAAACCAAACCAAACCAAACCAAACCAAACAAACTCGAACAGAAGTCAATTCATTCCTCAAAATGTATGCTCAATTCTGACAAAAAAAAGGTCTCGCGCCCCCCCAAAACCCCCTACGACCCCCCCAAAATCGTCGGCTACGTGCTTGCAAAAATGGAAGAAGAACCCACTGACGGCGTGCAACACGGCCACATCACCTCGCTCTCTGTCATGCGCACACACCGCCGCCTGGGGCTTGCCGAGAAACTAATGCGCCAATCCCAACGCGCTATGGCCGAGACCTTTAACGCACACTACGTCTCCCTGCACGTCCGCGTCTCCAACACCGCAGCCCTGCACTTGTACCGCGAGACGCTGGGCTTCAAGGTGGATAAGGTCGAGGCCAAGTACTATGCGGATGGCGAGGATGCGTATAGTATGCGGATTGAGCTTGCGGATGTTAAGAGGGCGGTTAAAGAGGAGGAGGAGAGTGTTTGGGGGAGTGAGGGTGTGGATGAGGGCGAGGCTGTTGGGAGTGAGGGGCGCGACGAGGTTAAGATGGTGAAGATGGGGAGGGGGAGGGGGGTTGTGGATTTGGTGGAGAAGAATGAGGCTGCTACTACTACTACTACTGCTACTGCGTAGTGTGGGGTGGGAATTGGGGGGGGGATAACAGGACTCATGGAAAAACGTTTGGTTTAAGAAACGAAACAAAGTCAATTGTAGCGTGGACGGAAGCGAAGTTTATGTGGATTTTTTAAGACATTGGAATTGGTATGACAACAAACAAGTCTTGATACCGAGCATAGATCTATGTATATCGTATCTTTCTTTTCCCCCCTTCCCCTTTCCATATTTCTATGTCAAATGCCCACCAACATAAGATCGAATGAAGAAATATTACAACAAAATCATCTTACAACAGATAGAAAGAATAGAAAAGAAAAGAAGAAAAGCCAGTTGTAGATTTACAACCAAAAAAAACCGGCGGTGGATATCAAAAAAACAAATCCTGAATCGTTAATTTCCCATGAAAACCTTATAATCCCTTTCCCAAGTCATCATGATAGGAATTGTTTACCTTTCCCTTGTGTTTTTACATCAAGCCACCCAGGACAACTTTGCCCACGCCGCCAACTTCGCTCTTAACGCCAGCACGACAGCTATCTTCAAACTCTCTTACAACACCGGCGAGAATAATCTTACGGACTCGTGCGTCGGCCTTGTTGAACAAGTCGCCGACAATACTGGGGACGCCTCCACCGGCCATGGCGACGCTCTCGGGGGTACTCAGCATGGACAGGATGCGTGTGTAGCAATCGATGAGGACGTCGCAGAGTGTGGCGAATGTGCTGAAAAAGTCTGGGTCAAAGGGTAGCGACGGGGTCTGCAGGTGCGTATACGACTCGTTTGGCAGGAGCAAGTCATCAGTCGGTGGCGAGTCGATGCCCATGCCCTCTATGCCGTTGAAGCTATTGCTCGGGGTGAGGATAGGAAAGTCACCGGTTGCGCTGCTACTACGACGACCTTTACTGCCCATGCCCATGGTCATGCCCATGTTTGCGCGCTTGAACATTTGCGGGAGGCGAGCACGGCTCAGGGTTGAAGGAGTCGAGCCATCGGCAGGGTGCATGGACTGGTACTGCTCAAACTCAATGAGCAAGGCATTGAGGGCCTTGAGGTAGTCGGCGGGCGAGTTTGCGTTGAGGTCGAGGATGGTGGGGAGGGAGAAGCCGAGGAGGAGGTAGTGGGTAGCGCGGCGGGCTTGGTTGCGCGAGGTAAAGGAGGGGAGGCGGGTGAGGTCGGATTTGGAGAAGAGGAGCGTGTTGAACCAGTATATTCTGCCTTCGTGACTGCAGCAGGGGGTTGTTAGCTTTTGGAAGGGCAGGTGGGACAGGGGGCAATGGAGGAGAGGAAGAGAGAGCCATACGCCTTGCGGAGGTAGTCGAGCGTGGAGATGCGCTTCGAGGCGAGCTCTTGGATATGCTGGAAGACAAGGTTTGGGTTTGAGCCATTGGGGACGGGGATGGGGGCGGCAGGGGCGAGGGTGCGGTTGGACTGCTGGTTTGCGTGCAGAATGTCTTTTTGGGTGGGCGGGTGACGCAGGGGCATAGGCACGGCCATGGCGAAAGGGTTCTTTGACTTGTCGACGGCGCTCGAGGGGCTCTGGGGGGCGTCGTGGGCCTTTTGCTTGGAGGAGCGAGTAAAGGTGGAGACGGAGAGGGTCGGGCGCTGGGGGTGGGTTGGCTGGGGCGCGGGGGCCTTTTCAGCTTCGGCGAGGGCCAGCGTGGCCGAGGGCGTCCTCGTGTGCGACGAGGACGACGTCTTGCGGGTGCTGGACGAGTTTGTGGTGCGTAGTGAGGCCGAGCGCGAGGTGCGCAGCTGGGAGCCGAGATCCGTGACGGATGAAGCGATGCTGTGCCTGCTTACGTGGCGGCGGCGCTGGGGGGTCGTGGGCTGCTGGTGCTTGGTGGGGTCGTCTGCAGAATCGTGGGGAGGGGGCGTGTTTAATCTATTAGGAACGGCAGCACCGGGAGCAGCAGCATCAGCAGAGTTGGTGATGGGCGGCGCGGGCTGGACATGGAGCTGGGGCGGCGCCGTGTCTGCGGGGGCAGCATGGGAGTGGGAGAGGGACGAGGCGGCGCCGTGTCTGGAGGCGGTGCGATGCCTGCCGCCGAAGAAGGAGGGCCGGCGGGAGAAGATGCCGTGCTGGTGTTGCTGTGTCTGCTGGTGGAGGGGAAGATGTTGGTGGTGGTGGTCGGCCATGGTGAGCTGGAGGCATCCAGCCAGCCAGCAAGGGTGGGGGCTACCGAGCGATCAGGGGCGCGGTTTCACCCTTGGGCCCTGCCTGAACATGCGCCCACGGCCTGGCTGACGGGCTATAGTTTTTTCGATAGTCGATTGGCGATGTGTATGTCTAGATGTATGTATCGCGACAGCGACAGCGACTCCAACAACAACAAGCCGACACCAGGACGCGACAGACTCGGCGGACCGGGGCGCCACGAGCTTTAAACACGAAGCGCGTTCCACGAGCACCATGCGCTGCTGCGACAATGCCAAAATTCAGGCCGTGTTTCGGTTCGCGGTGCCAGCTGATGGACTGCGCGCCTATCATCCATCCCATCCATCCCCCAGCTTGACCAACGCAGGAACAGCCAGGCCGCAGTAGGCCCACTACCCCTGCCACTCCACCACCACCACTCCCCCTCTCCGCCATACAACCCACCCCCCAAGCCAGCAGCCGCCCGCACTGCCTGTCCTCTCTCTAACATCTAATATCCTTCCCTGCGCCCCCCTCCATTCCGCAACCGCTGCCTCTGCACCCCCCGCCCGCCGCCCACCATGCAGCGCAGACACAGCGCCCGAGTATGTACTTAGCACGCCCTCGCCCACACGCCCCAAGCCCGCCTGCTAACGCTCCGCAGGGAGAATGGATCCCCACCGAGGGCCAATGGCCCGTCGATCCCCAGCAGGACATGCCCGTCTCTGACGACCGTATCTGGGTCGACGGCTGCTTCGACTTTGCCCACCACGGTACGCCGCCCACTGCCTCTCTGCACCACCTTCACCACGCTCACTCTCCCCTCTAGGTCATGCCGGCGCAATGCTGCAGGCCCGCCAGCTGGGCACCGAGCTCTACGTCGGCGTCCACTCGGACGAAGCCATCCTCGAGAACAAGGGCCCGACCGTAATGCGCCTCGACGAGCGGTAGGCCTCCTCGCTGCACCCCTAAATGCCTTGCGCCGGCTGACTGCCATAGTGTCACCGCCGTCGAGGCCTGTCGATGGGCAACCAAGGCCGTCCCACGAGCCCCCTACGTTACCTCGCTGCCCTGGATCACCCACTACGGTTGCCAGTATGTTGTCCACGGCGACGACATCACCTCGGACAGCGATGGCCGCGACTGCTACCGCTATGTCAAGCAGGCCGGCCGCTTCAAGGTCGTCAAGCGCACCCCGGGCATCTCGACAACCGACCTCGTCGGTCGTATGCTGCTGTGCACCCGCTCCCACTTTATCCCTTCTCTCGACAAGCGCTTGACCGGTGAAGAGGGCCCTGGCGACGAGGCAGAGCGCACAAAGGCTGGCCAGGAAATGCTGCAGCGCATCAAGGACTATGCGACTGACGCCTCGGGCCGTGCCCCTGGCTGCGATGTCTGGTACTGGCATGCTTCTCGACCAGTCAAGCTACGGAGAACCACAACCAGCGCCGTTACCAGCCCTACCCGCCCCGATCACCCCCGCCAGGAATCCACGGTCTCGCAAGTAGGCCCCGTCAGGGAGGAAAAGGGCAAGTTCAACCAGCTCGTTCAGGGCAAGGGGCTTAAGGAGGGCCAGTCTGTCGTCTATGTCGATGGCGGCTGGGATCTGTTCTCCTCTGGCCATATTGAATTCTTGCGCTCCGTCACACAATGCGAAGAAGACCGCGCGAGGGAAAACGGATGGTACACGGAAGAAGCCAAGCAGGAGCGCATACAAAAAACCGGCGAAGACTATGGCCCGGTTTTCTTGATCGCCGGTATCCACGACGACGAGGTCATCAACCACTGGAAAGGCATCAATTACCCGATCATGAACATTTTTGAACGTGGTCTATGCGTTTTGCAATGCAAGGTACGCCCCGCTTGGGTGATTTTTGTAATTACATACTAACTTGTTCAGTACGTCCACGCTACCATTTTCGGCGCTCCTTTCTCCCTTAGCAAGGCCTTCCTCCACGCCCTCCCCTATTCATCTCCCCTGACCATCTACCATGGCAAGACTACCTTTATGCCACTCCAGTTCGACCCCTACGCTGTGCCCAAGACGATGAACATTTACCGCGAGATTGGCGACCATGGCTTCCAAAACGTCAATGCCGCCGAGATTGTCGCCAGGATCATGAAGGGCAGGGCTCTGTACGAAGAGAGACAGCGCAAAAAGGGCGAAAAGGGCATCACCGAGGATGCAGAAAAGCTTCGACAGGAGATGGAGCGCGAGCAGAGGAGGAGGGAGGTTGAGGGCCAGTTTGGCCTATGATATGGTGGTCGGCCCTACTTGGTCGCGGCGCTGCACGAGTGTGGGTAGTGCGTTGGGCTTCTTTGGCTTGGCCTTGAACCAGACCCGGCGTTTTTCCCTTGATCGTCAACAGACGCCAAGTCTAGACTGAGCCTCGAATTGATCCTTGCCGCGAGGAACATCCTCGGTTTTCCTCCACGATGAGATCCAACGATGAGATCCAGATCGCCCGCATCAACCTTGATTAGACCCTCTCGCTTGTATTTCAAAAGCAACACTAGGGTCTTGGTGACATCACCACCATGGCCATCATGGTCAGCCGCTGACGGCGCCTCTTCAGGCACACAAATGTTACACCGCGTCGGGCATTACCGGTATAGGGCAAGGTGCCATGTGATTGATTGCCCCAACACTCCACATTACCCTTTTTCCCACCCCACCAGTCTCCGCACTGGGGGGCCTTTCTTACGGTGGATAAACAATCAAATAGCGAATTTCTCAAGATCCCTTCATTCTCAGCCACCAGCTTTGCACATTGTGAAATGCAACGTTTCTTGTCATGACTATCGTAACCCCCGTTGCTGCATTCCTCCTCATAGCCGTCAGCTTGTTGTATGCTGGGATCAGGTTCTGGCAAAACAGACATGCTCTGCCTCTGCCCCCAGGGCCCAAAGGAATCCCTATACTGGGAAACGTCAACGACATGCCCAAGCCAGGCATGCTCGAGTGCCACCACTGGTTGCAGCACAAGGAGTTATACGGTCCCATTTCCTCGGTGACAGCCATGGGTCAGACCATTGTTATCATTAACGACCCTACCATTGCTCTCGACCTCTTACGCGACCGGTCTGCAATCTACTCATCACGCCCCAGTCTCGTCTTTGCCGGTGACATGTAAGTTTCTATGTTTGTTCTGGACAAGGGAAGCCGATATTGACCATGAGCTTGTTGCTTATAGGGTGGGTTGGCGCCATGCAACTGTCATGATACCCTACAACGATGTGTGGAAGATACACCGGAAGAACATCACAAAGATTACGAGTACAAGTACATCGCTTTCCGTCTTTGACCGCGTCCAGGAGGCCGAAGCCGCGCGGTTTCTGGTCAATATGTTGGAATCACCAGATCGACTGTTTGAGCATGTCCGCAAGGAAGCTGGGAGTGTGATTTTGAAAATTACATATGGATACAACATTGTCTCACATGGAAAGGATCCACTGGTTGATGTGGCGGAAAAGACTATGGAGCAGTTTGCAGAAGCTACTGTTCCTGGGCGGTGGGCTGTTGACATTTTTCCATTCAGTTCGTTGTGTCCTTCCCTCAGAGACTATCGAGAAGTACTTTCTAACCTCGTTAGTGAAATACATACCCGACTGGATGCCCGGTGCAGGCTTCAAGCGCACAGCAAAGGAAATGGCGAAACAGCTCGATCAATGCACAACTCGGCCATACGAATTCGTCAAGCAGCAAATGCAAGAAAAGAGACACACACCTTCCTTCCTCTCCCAAAGCATAGAAAGCGCAGACAGCACTCCAGAAATGGAATTCTACCACAAATGGGCAGCACTCGCCCTCTACCTCGGTGGCGCAGACACCGTGAGTCCCCCTATCCACACACCCATAACCGCATTTCCAAACCACAAACTGACTTCAATCCTACCAGACTGTCTCAGCAATCTCAACCTTCTTCCTTGCAATCCACCTCTTCCCCACAGTCCAGTCAAAAGCCCAACAAGAAATTGACTCCCTCACCCACGGCCTCCGTCTCCCCACCCTAGCCGACCTCCCCAACCTCCCCTACATCTCCGCTATAGTCCAAGAAACACACCGCTGGCACCTTGTCGCCCCCATGGGGATCCCACATACGAGCACGAAAGAAGATGTGTATATGGGTTACCGCATACCCAAAGGCTCAATATTGCTAGCGAACAACTGGGGCTTCATGCATGATCCTGCCGTATACCGCGATCCCATGGCATTTCGGCCTGAGCGATTTATAGCGTCGGAGGGGAGGGAAGCGGAACCAGACCCGCGGACGCACGTGTTTGGGTACGGCAGGAGGATTTGTCCGGGGAGACAAGTAGCAGATCATGCGCTGTTCGTCACGATTGCACAGACACTTGCTGTCTTCAACGTTTCCCCTAGTATAGATGCAGAGGGAAGGGTGAAGCGGAGCGAAGTCAAGTTCGAGCCCGGCACAATAAGTCGCCCCGTACCGTTCTCATGCCGCATCACGCCTCGATCCAACGCGCACATCACGTTAATCCAAGAAGCAGGCCAGAGATTCGCCTACGAAGAAAGCGATGCTGCGAAACTTGAAAACATTACATGGTAGTCATTCATACATACATATTTTTTTTTAAAAAAAACATCTATCATACCCGCAACCCTACAGGTACAATCCATGCCTCCACCCTCTACTACACACCCCCCCTCTCCCTCCTCAACCACCCCACCCCAACATACACCGCACTCGCCACCGCACTCCCCAACAACGGCCCAACCCAATAAATCCAATGATACCCCGTAAACCCACCCACAACCGCCGGTCCAAAACTCCGTGCTGGGTTTAAACTCGCGCCCGTATAATACACACTACACACATGCGCCACAAACAGCGACGCACCAATGTACATTGGTTTCGCCCACCCTCCTTCTAACATGAGGATGGTGAGGATGAGTTGGGAGGTAACCAATGCTTCGAGGAAGAGGCCGCGGGTTAGCGAGATGGAGGGAGAGAGCGTGGTGGCGATTGTGAGGGGGCCTGGGAGAAGGGCGGAGGTGAAGGCGGAGGCGGCGATGGAGGCGAGGAGTTGGGAGAGGATTGTTTGGGTTGCGCGGTGCCAGTGGATTTTGCGGGTGAGGTAGAGGGGTATTGTTACCTTTTTTGTTTGTTTGTTTGTTTGTTTAGTACACTTGATATGTTTTGTTTTTGTTGGAAGGGGGGGAAGGGGGGGGGCTGCTTACGGCTGGGTTCTAACATTTGTTAGTTTCATATCTTCTGAGATAATCAGATTGATAGAATGGGGGAGGGAATGGAAGTAAAAAAGGGGGATGGATAACGTACGAATTTCCCACCGCTGATATCAGCGAAGATTGCTACGTTAATCGCGAGTGAGGCGCCAAAGGCAAAGGCTATGTAGAGAAGTTTTGCTACGTCGGGTAAGGGATCGCCGCTACCGGATAGCTCTTTGCTGCCCGCTGCGTTCAAGGCGATTTGCGTGCCGGTGAAGGCGAGGGAGAGGAACATGAAGGTGCCGATGAACTCACCGATGAAGGCGGCGGCTTCGGTGCGGAGGGTGTGGTGGCTGCGGGGGGTTTGGGAGGGGGTTGTTGTGTTGGTGGAGGGTTCGTGGAGGGGGAGGCTGGGGGGTTGGTCTTTGGAGGTTACGGACGTTTTTGATGAGTAACTTCAGAGGAGCAGGAGAAGATTGGGGTTTTCTTTTTAGGTTGGGAAAATGGGCAGGCTTTTGGAAGTGGAGAGGAAGAGGGTGATGGGGAATTTGTAGTCTAATATTTGTGTCCGATATCATGCCACAGTGAGGTTGTGTGAGTGTGACTGAGCTGTGGTTCCCCCACTTTGAGCCTTAAACGGTAGATTGCCTGTTTGAACGAACCTATTGTTGTAGGGAAAATAGATACACAAAGTTGGATACTATGTCTTGGATATGCTAGTGCCATGGCGTGGAGACGGGTGAGTTGTGATTGTAGGATCCGGTGCCCCAAGTCCCATTTGGCGATGCAACACAGACTTGGTCGCCTGACTTCAGGACTGCTGTAGACTCTTAGCTACAGAAAAACATTCTCTTGACATCGATCTGCTCTCTATGTCCGATAACGGGTTTGTTTAGTGTAGCACAGATTTGGGTAAGATGTGCTCCGGCGTGGATGTATGTATCTTGTGTAAGTGATGGCATCAAAACATACCAATGACCTTACTGTCGGTTATATATGTCTGTATATCTGCGATAAGAATATGGAGTGTTGTTGTGAAGTGGTGTAATCTTGGAAGAAGCAGTCAGTGGCTGCCGTCGTTTTGATAGGCCGGTAAGATTGATCACTTCAGGCGCCTTGTGTGCCTATACCTCGACTAGACTAGCTTTATAGGGTGCCACGATTAAAGCGTCAGTAATGGAATGATGTATGTAAACATATCGCTTTTAGTTGTGGATATAAAGCATGGATAAATACTGAGAAAACATATCCTCTGAACTAGAGGAGCAATCCCAAGCTTTGTCTTAAAGTCTATCCTCTCGTTCTCTCAGCATATATTGCGGGTTAGTCTCATCAAAAACAATGATTGTGACTAGAGAAACTTTCCTTGCGCGCACAAGTACGTGGGACAACGCATGTGAATGGTCGTTTAAATAACGGGCGTACAACACATCCTGCCAGCCCTACCTCGAATCACGTCTAGTACCGAGCACATGGGACACCTGTTGCACACTCTAACTGACAATCCGCTTTCAGCTGATTTGCTTTTGTGTAGCTTTTGTAAGCAATCATCTTGAACGCAAGCTTTCACAGCTTCTGCTGCAAAGACGGTCATATCAACTGCGCAACCAGGAGAGATTATTCTCCATGTTACACCAGACTATTTAGCGCTTCTGGCGCGTCGTGCTTGCTGCAGTCAAAATCACTACGTCGGGACTTCCCGTCGCACAGGCCTTATCCGCTTCGCGCCAATGCGCTTTGTCAGTGCATTGTGCACCAATGTAGATGGGATGATTTGTGTTCCATATCAGACCAAAGGGATATGGCGACCTTACATAGCTTGGGATGGAACTAGACTGGTTGTGGTCTGGGCGCTTTTTCCAACAACGAGTCGTTTTAATACTTATACCTGCGGTTCGATCTTCAACATGCATTTAACTTCGAATTATCGATACTGAAGTCTCACTCCTGACTTCGCTAGGCTGAGATGGTAAACTGTTGGTGACCGCCGAGTCAAGATGGTGAACCAAACCCCACGTCACCCTGATGACGTCGGAGATTTCTTTAGTCTTGCCGGTCCTTCATAGCGAAGGTCACGGTTCAGACTCCGACACTCGCTGGGTGCTAGGCCGATACTAGCACCAACACCGGCTGGAAAGCGGAGTTGCTTCTCCAGGAGTGCATACCAATATTTTGCACATGGTCCACTGCTCTCCACTATACACTTTCATCGACGATGTCTCTTCCATCACTCTGCAGGCTTTCTAATCACTAATCCAAGCACCACCCCTCACAACAATACAAACCTAGTTCTATAAATGTCGCCAGAAGAGAAGCCATGTGTGTACTACACGACCTGCACATGACCGTCTACCAAGTTTTGGCTTATTACGTACAGTCGAGTACTGCAGGCATCCGCGACGGACGGGAAACTATAGATATTTGGGTCAAGATCTGCAATTCTAGATCTGCAGATCGCAACTGCGGGACGCTGGACGTCAACCGTCTGTCAAGATACCCCACATCCGGCGTACTACTAGGCCAAGCGTTGCATTAGCGCTCGATCATGTTACTCCAAATGAACGGATCAAATTAAGCGATCATAGAAATCTTGGATAGCCGCTCTCCCGCTCCGGCAAAAGCTTAGGCGTTGATCGCGCGTAAGGGACAGTACTTGGATATTTATCCAGAAAAGGCCGGTTGTTCCTAATGCGGAGTTAAATTCACCAGCCACGTACGAAATTGTGCGTCCTTTTTCAATCTAATCAAAATCTAGCCGCAAAAGGTATATTGAACTGATCCTAATGGGAAGGTGTAGTGTAGGGATATGATTGATAGTCTCGAACTAACACCAAAGTTACCCAGAGAAAGCAAAGTGAGTATTTGAAATGACGAAAGTTTTGATATTGAGACCGGATACGTTTGGAGGATATGAGGCGAAAGAGCAGCGGGCTCAATTTAAAAGCATGGCGACGTTTCCATCATTTCTCTCATTGCATCGATAGCAAGAATGCGCTCCACGGTTCTACTTCTCCTCGCCACCCCCTCGGCGCTAGCTTTCCCATGGCTCAAACCCGAAGGTCTCGAGGCGCTACTGAAACATCCAGAAGCACGCGCTGAAATCGAGCGTAAGCTGCAAAGCCGAAATGCTGCTTCAGCAGAGCCTCGCCAACTTGTAGACACCCTCAAACCTATTCTGGACCCTCTACTAGGACTCATCCCAACATCCGACTCTGTGAAGGATTTGAAGAGGTTCCCTGAGGGTATGTATACTGTAGTTAGTTCACATGTGTTACTAACGAGTCCTAGCGGACTACCCTTTCCAACCTCCTGGCCCTACTGACCAGCGCGGTCCCTGTCCTGGCCTCAATACATTGGCAAATCATGGATGTAAGTTTTGTACTCAAACGTTACCTTTTAGTCAACTAACAAGTCTAGACATTCCACGAAATGGCATCGTGACAATCGCCCAAATCCAAGCCGGAACAGAAGCTCTCTTCAACATGGCCCCCGACCTAAGTGCACTCCTCGCTACTGGCGGAGCCCTCGACGGCGGCGACATCCTCTCCACCAAGATGAGCATCGGCGGACCCGACGCACGCGTAGGCGTCCTAAATGGAGCGCTCAACTCCCTCCTCGGCACCCCCTCAGGTATCGCAGGTCACGGCAAATTCAACGAAGGCGACGCCTCCGCCACCCGCCTCGACTTCTACCTCCAAGGCGACAACATCTCCTTCCAACCCTCCCTCTTCAAGCAACTCCACCAGCAAGCCCTCGCCCACGGCAACGGCACCTACAACACCGACGCCATAAAAGAGCACTTCAAAGCCCGCTACTTGGCCTCTCGCGCCGCAAACCCTCAATTCTACTTCAACGTCCCCTCCGCCGGCGTTGTAATGGGCGCCTACTACTTCATCCCGGGCTTCTTCTCAAACGGCACCCTCGCAAACGAAGCTTCCATCACGAGTTTCTACGGCGCAAAGCCTCGACAGCCTGCAAAGTGGGATGATCCGGAGCTAGAATACACAAGCGTGCCTGAGCGTATACCGGAGCAAGGATGGTACCGTCGCGCGACACCCATGACTGTCGTCGAGGCCGCAGCAGGTATCCTGGACGTCTATCTGTACGCTAGACCGGCGATCGGGGGCGCGGGCGCGGATCAAGCGTGGGTCGTGGGATCCGCGGTTTTACCTGACAATCCCCAGGCGCTCTCGTGCTTCCTTTACAATGCTGTGTATGCGAATTTCCCAAGCGAACTGTTTAATTCGGTGCTGCTGGTGCAGAGTGTGGTTAATTTCCTGAGTGGCGCGTTGGTGCCGGGTTATAAGGCGTTGGGGTGTCCCAAGGAGTTCCCCGATATGACTGGGTTTACTTCTGCGGGCTATGATGAGTGGGCAAAGGGGTACACGGGGGAGGCGAAGACAAAGGGCGTGGGGAGTGGGTGGTATAGGAAAGGGTGAGGATCGGTGGTGATTGTGCTCATGTAAATCTTGTGGCTGGTATAGTTCGAAGTGTCATTTCAATGTTCTGTTGTATGTCATTTGCTGGGCTCAACTGCCGCTTGCCGAGCATCTCGCTTCTACTTGCTACTACTGATTTTTTTTTGTCTGTGTCTACCGAGCCTAGCGGCTTGTCACACGGGATGTACAGATTTTCGAGTCGCTCCCCATCTGTCAAGAAAAAGACAGCAGCGGCTCGATACGAAGAAGCTAACCGAGTCAAGTCGAGCTTTTCCCTACACAGTATCTCATAAACACCAACCACTTCTATATTTGTTTTTTTCCAGTCATGTCGTGCAGCAAAGCTATCATGTCGATCCACTGTCATTCAACAACATCGATGCCGTATGCTCGATAGGGAAAATTCTCTAGACTGTGCCTCATCTCCACCACTCCATCCTCTGACATGAGGCGTCCATCTTCGCCAACCACAGGACCTCTCGCTTCGCCTTGAACAGGAGTTGCATAGTCGGGTACCTGATCATCAGCCTCTGTTCTCCCCATCAGGACATCCATCTCGCGTCCCTTGCAGACCCGTGCTAAGCCCGGATGTGGCACCCACACCACACGCATGCCAGCCCGTCGTGCAGCTTCAACCCCCGCGATCGAGTCTTCAAAGACGAGGCATTCGCGGGGGTCAAGCGCGCGCTCTCCACGCGCCGTGTTCGCAGCATTCAGCCGCCTGAGAGCAAGAAGGAAGATATCGGGCTCAGGCTTCTTCTTACTATCTGACATTTCTAGGTCGTCGCCAAATACCTGTAAAGCTGAGTCTTGGAATGCTCGCCCAATGCAAGCCAGATGTGATGTCTTCAGCGCAAACTTCTCACGCCCTGCGGAGCTAGCTAGCGACAGCAGTATAGGTGGCGTGGTCTGGAATTTCAGCTTTTGAAGGAGATCATCGATGCCAGCGAGCGTCTCGCTGTTCCTGAACAAATGTGTATGTGCTTTCTCTTTTAACGCCCATTCTGCTGGGGAAAGTGGTACCTGCGCCCAAGCGAGAAGACGATTCGTGCCCTGCATGGAAACCTGAGGAGCTGAAGATTGCTTTTGATTGTGGGGGGACCCTTACACGTGAGCCTCTGCTCTGCTGCGTGGCTTTAATGGCCCAGGGGTATTCGGGCCTTCCATATTCTCGCAGAATGTGGTTGTAAATGCTAGTGTAGATGTCCTCAGAGTTGATAAGGGTGCCGTCCACATCGAAGATGCACGCCCGAACAGGCGGTAAGGCCTGAGTCATGACTGGCTGTCAGAATCAAGGGCCTAATTAGAGGCTGCTGGATGTGGCGCAGATGTTGAGACTTGGAGGTGATTGAATCTGCCAGGCACTCTTCTACTGTGGTGGGTGGCCGCCCCCCAGTCTACCCCGCAGTGGCTAGCCGGGCTAGGCCTAACTCTCGTCGTACAGTGAACTTTGCTGAAGCCACGGCGGTCCCTGACACCACAGCCATCGAGATTTTGTTGAGGTATACACGTAACTTCAATCTCTACGCTTCGCTTACCTTGTGTCTACATCGCCAGTCACTGTCAAAGCGCCTGGAGTGGGCGGTGGAGGCTGAAAGGCTGGAAGGAATGGATATCAGGTGATACGAATGCCAGATAGGACATGTACTTATCCTCTTGGATGTATTATAGTACATAATAAGCGTATGTGGGGCAAACTGGTTATCTGCACAGGGTTCAAGGACCCGCTTATTCACCACGTACACAGTAAGGATACAAGGGTCCAGAATGAAGTGATAACGCTGAGGCAATGAACATGCTACCTTGGCAGTATGAACGTGACAACAAGGGATCTCGCAGAGCTGTCAACAACCTCTATCTGACGGGAAGACCCTAATGGGCGTAGTTAGAACGCGCACCGTCGTGTTGTTCAGCTAGTTCGGCCCTCATCAGGCCTCCAATGGCGTTACTTGCCTGAGGGCCTCGATTCAATTTTGATAGCAGTAAGTACTCACTGCAAACTAGTCTTTGCTCTAAATCGCTCAGGACGATTGGCGAGATGCAATGTTACCAGGGCGTGCTTGTTTATGTGGCCGGCACGTGGACAGCGCCTCTGCAAAAACTTATCCTCGTTTATACATGAGCTCCATTTGCTCATGACTCGACTGGGTAACAATTTTGGTTGAGCATGTTACTCGGCCGAGCATATGGCCGCGGAATTTGAATTTCCAAGGACTTTTTGGAAACAGAAGACTGTATCTAATCGTAGGGCAATGGAGGATTTGATATGCTCTGTATGGTTGCTAGTAGTGCTTGGAAGGATTTGCAGCTAGTTGCCTGGATCCTAGATACAGCACTGTCGCTGCGCAAGGCTGGTCTTGGCGCCCAATGCGTATGGGCAAGTTACTCGTGTGATAAGTCAAGAAGCCAGGAGATTGTGCAGAGATAATTCGAAAAAGGGGCGACGGTAAAGAGATGCCATTGGTTGGGAAAGGCCAAGAGTGCTCCTTTCTCGCGTCGCCGCTGCTTGGCAGCTGGGGTTATGCAGGGCAGTCGACGGCCTCGATAATGGTCGGAACTAAGTGTGCGAGGCGCTAATACTCTCCTGGGTCCGAAGGTGGTACACAAAACGGTGTGCGAGAAGCATGACTCGGGCCATCGTGGAACAAACGGCTTTGCAATGGATGACCTGGTGTGCTCCGGTGAATCTGGGGGCCTTGGACAGAAGGAGAGCTGAAAAGGTAGCGGCCCGCAGGCTTTGAGCATGCATGTGAAGGCAGCCAGGGTTCCCTAATCCTATTCTTGCGTGGTTTGGCGATGAAAAGAGGCGCGTAGGATACGTGACTGGCATGCACACATTTCCTCCCGCCAACTCAGCTGCTGGACGTGTAAAGTGGCGGCGACGTTGGACAGGGCTGAGCGAGGGTATACTCACAGTTGCCTTAGCCCCGGGTCACATGCCTCTACTACCCAGCCACAAGCCTACTACCACCAGACGGTCTCTCTTGGCCATTTTCACGAGGAGCCGTGTCTTTGCGCGCTAGTAAAGCCACATCTTTGCTGTCTGTTTCTACACTGGGCATCTGTTTAGCGCCAGTATAATATTATCTCACCAAGAATGCCTCGCGGGGCGGCTCGCATGAGCGACAGGGCCTTGCCGTGAGATTTGCAAGGGGGAACCATCTACTGCCTGTTTTGCCCAATGCTGACACGATTCCATATCTATCGACCCGCTGGTGTGCATCGGCCAAACCGCTCCAAATCGAGTGTGCTCAAGTGCCAAATTCATTGATGACGATGGATTTGGTGTTGCACCCAATGAATGCTGTGGGCTGTCGGGTCGGTGAAGCTAACGGAGCCCCAAAAGACCAGCGGTGCTAAACTTAGCCCACGTTTGCACCCTCGTGAGTATTCTTCCGTCAACACCACACTACATGCCGCGAACCCAACTCGGCCTCAGGCCTCGGATGCCGGACGTGTGCGCTGTCATGGCGCAACCTGGATCCTCACATGGGCCCCATGGAACCACACCACAGTCACTCACTTGCGGCCATTTGTTCACTCAGGCTACCACAAGCCCGCAGCCTGGAGTACTCCTCCACTGCTTACCCATCCACGACGAAAGAGGAAACTTCGTGAATAGATAAATTGATCCTTGACTTAGTTCTGTGCTTGATTGGCCGGGATAAGGCACGATACCCATCTGGCGAGAACCAGGCTGCGGGACGCACGCCCTAAGCGAGTAGCAACGAGATAGCGACACTCGGCCTCTTCCTATTCCGCTTTTCAGCCGTAATACGGGGACCATGACTATTGAATCGTTCCAGTTTTTTTCTAGCTGCTTCCTGCTCGCCCGCGCCGCCACAGCCATGCAGCTCACCCGTCGCCTAGCTAAACTACCGAAGCTGACTGACTAGGTTTTCGTCGTGTGGAAGTGACCGGATTAGGCGTACCATTGGCCAATGTCCCCATCTCGTCGCTGTCTGCCATTATGGGAAGCATATAAAGATATCGGCTGGGATGCCATCTGGAGTTCACAGGGCTCATCGACCGGGCGATCATTCCTGCCTGTCGAGCATTTTCTCAATACTGTCTTTCTCTGTCCTTCGGTTCTGCCATCGTTTCTCGCCTCACATGGCGCCCCCTCATGCTCTCAGGCTGTCCCACAGCCTGCTCCTGGCACTGTCTGTAGCATCTACAGTCAGCGCACAGGAGCCCAAGGTCGGATGGCACGCTGAAGGCTGCTACACCGACTCCGTCCAAGCAAGGTCGCTGTCGGCACCCTATGGAGTAACTGGTGGCATGACGAACCAGAAATGCAGAGATGCATGCCGAACAGCATTTTTCACCTATGCTGGTACCGAGTATGCGGGAGAATGCTTCTGCGACAACCAATTGCGGAATCAGGGCCGACCGGCTCCCGACGGTAACACCGGATGCAACATGGCCTGCAACGGGAATCAAACCGAAATATGCGGAGGTCCTGACCGATTGACCTTGTGGAGGTTCTACACGGGCAACGAAGTCAGCTCCTCGTCTGCTGTTTCCAGTGCTCCAGTTTCCAGTCCGGCCGCTTCCAGTGCTGCCGCTTCCACTACTAATGTTCCCGCTACTACCACCACACCTACGACTACAGCTCAAGCCAGCACGTCCAGCGCCCCACCAGCTGCCACCGGTCTTCCTCAAGGCTTCCAATACAAGGGTTGCTATGTTGATGGACCTGGATACCGTATTCTCAACAACCAACAGCCCGATGATCAGCAAATGACCGTTGCATCATGCACCAGGAAATGTGCCCAGGCCGGTTTCGAGATCGCCGCCATGGAGTATAGCTACCAGTGTTTCTGTGATAACTTTGTGAGTATTCCCGACACCCTTTGTAATCAGATGCTAACTTGACCAGGTCAGGATGGGAGGCGCACCGGCTCAGTCCGAGTCCGAATGCAACACCAAATGCGCAGGAAATCAAGCCGAGACATGTGGAGGTCCTAACAGGATGAGCATCTATTCCACCCAGAACCCCCTCAAGGTCTATCAGCAACCAAAGCCTGTCCAGACTGTGGGTGGCTGGAAGTACCAAGGCTGCATCACTGATATCGGTGGCCAAGTGTTCCCATGGAAGTCTGTCAATGAGACTGGCAACTCACCAGAATGGTGTCTTAGCAAGTGTCAAGAATTCGGCTTCATGCATGCTGGATTGGAGTATGGCCAGGAATGCTTCTGTGGTGATTTGGATGGCATCGAGAAAGCCGGTTCCAAGCCCGCCCCTGAGTCAGAATGTAACATGTCATGCCCCGGTCAACCTGAGGCAATCTGCGGCCAGGGTAACCGTCTGTCCCATTACAAGTGGGAGGGTGCTGATCCACTGTACGTGTGGAACTACCCCAAAGGCAACGCGGCTGGACGTTATGAGTTCTTGGTCGGTGGTCCAATCATTCCATTGATTTCGCAGCCCGCGGTCAACGGAAAGATTTCTCTTCTCGAGAAGTACGGAACTGGAGAGCCCAACTCAACCGGTGCTTACGAGCTCGACCCTTCCATTGGAGGTGACATCTTCCACGCCTTCCGCGAGTTGACCGGTATCAAGACCGACATCTTTTGCGCTGCTGGTTTGACTCTGCCTGATCGTGCTGGTCGCCAGATTAACATTGGTGGCTGGTCGACTGATTCCTTGTTCGGTGTCCGCATGTACACGCCAGACGGCACGCTTGGCGTCAACGGTACCAACAACTGGCAAGAGGATGTGAACACTGTGAAGCTGCAACAGGGTCGCTGGTATCCTACCGGTCTCCTTATGGCTAACGGCTCAATGCTTATCGTCGGTGGCCAGGACGGCTCTAACGGTCCCCCCGTGCCAAACATGGAGATCCTGCCCAAGGCTGGAGCAGTCAAGCACGCACAGTACCTGCAAGACACTGACCCATACAACCTGTACCCCTTCCTTGTCGTACTGCCATCCGGTGGTATCTTCATCCAGTACTACAACGAAGCACGCATCCTGGACGAGGTCACTCTCGACACCAAGACCATTCTGCCCAAGGTTCCCGCTGCTGTCACCGACCCTACCGGAGGCCGAACCTACCCATACGAGGGTACTCAAGTTCTTCTTCCACAGTACTACCCTTACACCGATCCTCTTGAGGTTCTCATCTGTGGTGGCGCTGCGAAGAACCCGCGCTATGGACTTGACAACTGCGTCAGCATGGCACCAGATGTTGCCCAACCCAAGTGGACAATTGAGCGTATGCCATCCCGTCGTGTCATGTCCTGCATGGCAACTCTCCCAGATGGCACTTT